CCAAGATTTGTTTCACCAGCAAAATAGGGTAAATGATGATTTGTGCTGTGTTGCATAGCAGTGATGGGATCGCTCAACATACTGTCCACATCAGCTCATCTTGCTGCCATTAATGCAGGATTAGCAATACCTGCTAGGCCTCTTGAGAAGATCCTGGTGTGTTTGTGACCATCACCAAATGCTAAACTTAAGGGTTTCTTCTTTCCCTGTTCCAGAACTTCTTTAACTGCATATTAGATCAGTATTGGACTGAAATGCTTCTGTTTCTCTTATATAACCAGTTAATAATAGACAAAAGACAAAAACACACAAACAAGCCTGGCAGCATTTTTCAAAGCAATTCCATTTGGCCTGCTTTTGCTAGGCTGTCTTTCTGCTAAGCTGCCTTTATTGAATCCCCGTGGCCTTGAGAAAAGTGGAACTGAAGTGTCTGAAGGAATTTCACGTCATCATGGAGGAAGCTTCGGCTTTTGAGTCTTGTCTGATAAGCACTGACTATGGCTTCCTTCAGATCCCTTTTGAATATCTAGTTAGGCCCAAAAGCTACTGTGTGATAGCTAGAAAAGGCAACACCCTGGAACAACTGCTGGAATGCCTACTCAATATGGAATGCAAGAATTTGTGCCTGTCCCAGTTCCTCACCATGCCATAGGATGGTGCTTTGTGTGAAAGGCCGACGTGGCCATGTCCAGGCTGCATTCTGCTTTTGCTTTTTCCAGGCTGGCGATACAGCACTTCATGTAGCTGCTGCACTAAATCATAAGAAGGTGGCCAAGCTTTTGCTAGAAGCAGGAGCTGATGGGACGGTAATGAACAATGTAAGTGCTAAAGTTCTTTTCCACATCCTTCCTGGTTATTTTCTGCTGGGCACCGGCTGAAATGGTAGTTTTGACAAAATAAATACACAGAGATGGTTTAAAATTATGTTTAGCAGTACATACATACATTAAAATTAAATAAACAGTATTTAGCTACATGCTGGTAAATGTTCAGCAATATCTTGACATGTTTTTGTTTTGTTACAGGCTGGACAAACCCCCCTAGAAGTTGCTCAGGAGAACAACAACCCTGAAGTTGCCCTTCTGCTCACTAAGGCCCCCCAGGTATATCACGAGTACAGCTCATTCGTGATGGATTCAGAAACACTGCTTTACAAACACACCGGCCGCTGGAACACATGTCCCTCTTACAAGTGCAGTTGGTGGTGTTTCAGTAGCTCCAGTGCAGAATGAACTTATTTCCACCTGCTCAGTGGGACTTCCTCTTGAATTTCTCCCCACTACTCCAGAGTGGTGGCATTTGGAAGCACTACAGTTGGGAAGGGAAGTCGATCCTGCTCCAAGACAGCCAGCACTGGATTGAATCCATGGAGTTCCATCCAAATTAGTCAGTCGTATTGTGGAATCATTAACATCAATGGTGTTTAAGTTAGTTATGACTCATGCTCTTACTTGATCTGTCCCAGTGGCATTGGAAATATTTCTATTTGTAGGTCTCACGTTTTAACCGTGGAAGGAGCCTGAGGAAGAAAAGAGAGAAACTCAAAGAGGAAAGACGCGCTCAGTCTGTCCCAAGGGATGAGGTGGTACAAAGCAAGGTAAGGCCAGCTTTGTCTGTTCAGAAGACAAGGAACCTGGTCTGCATGCAGCAAGGGCCTCTGGAAAGTCGTTGAAGCTGCACTAGGATTTTCACCTTTTTACCACTGTGCTGTAAGCCCTGGAACAAAATACTTGTTCTTATGATCATAACCTGTTTGATGCCTCTCATCATCCTCTGTTCCAATTTATGCAACTTTGCAATCAGGATCGAATGCAAGCACCTCTCTTGAAAGCAAAGCTGTGAGTCCATTTCACCATTGTCCATGCCTTTTATTTTGAAACAGGGCAGCGCCTCTGCAGCTGAAGACACTCACAGCAGTGACCAGGCGCCCCAAAGGAGAGGTGACCTAAAAGATGACGCGCAACTGCCTTTAGCAGAGTCCAGAGGGAGGAAGAATAAAAAAAAGAAATCGAGAGAGAAGGTACTAGGTGGCAAAGAGTGACAAAAGGGAGGCCTTTTCATCAGGGTTGTTCCTCTCTTCTTCCGTCAGCATTGGGCTTTTCACCAATGCCTGCTTTTGCTCCCTGAGTCCTCCTATAGGTTGAAAGGGACAATGTCACAGGAGAAACTAGGCTGAGGATCGCGTTCTTGTACAGTAAAACCTTGGATTGCAAGCGTGATTCGTTCCGGAAACATGCTGGTAACCTAAAGCACTTATATATCAAAGCAAATTTCCCCATAAGGTTCAATATAAATAAGATTAATCTGTTCTGTAACTTTTTTTTTAACCACAAAAATTTGAAGTGGGTGCACTGGGGGGGAGACAGGCGTGGTCATGGGTGCGGTCGGGCGTGGGGGAGAGAGACTGTACTGTACTCGCACCCGCAGCGAGAGAGAGAACTGGCGCTCAGTTGTGACGTGATGCTTGGCAGGCAAAGACCACGTTATACTCGTACTGCAAGACAACACTTGTTTATCAAGTTAAAATTTAGAAAAACTTTTTGCTCGTCTTGCAAAACACTCGCAGACCGAGTTACTCACAATCCAAGGTTTTACTGTACTTTTAAAAATAGGTTGAAATCAATATAACCAGTGCATGCAGAGTGTATGTGACAAGCTTTGATTACAGGCTTTCTGTTCTACCCAGTGTTTTAGGAAAGCTGTCTAGGATGTGAGTTGCTACAAATACAGTTAAAGCAATTAGTTGATTTGCATTAATGAAACTGGGTCTGCATTATGTCCATGTTTGTACCAGTGGGGGATTCGGACAGAGGCAGTTAAAATAAAATGGAATGCATTAGTCCTGAACCTTTTGATAGTTTTTGGCTGTTTGAAGAAAAGAATGATTAGTTATTAATATTAAGCATAAATATTGCCCTGAAATGGAGATTGGCTGAATCACTTGTGAAATGCATCTGCTTATGTAGAATGGGGAATGTTTCAGAATGTGTGCATTTAGGGTGCAATCGTAATGGCTGTCAGATACTGTCTAGAGAGCCAAAAGATGGGTCAGAAGCCCCATTCCAGCCCAGAAAAGCTGCTCTTCCTATGCTAGCTTTGGTTCCCCAGGTGAGGGTCTAGGGTGGGGCTCTGCTGGGATGCAAGAAGCCTGGCAGCACCTCAGCCTCTCCTCCTCGCAAGCAGGGACAAAAGATACAGTCACCCCAAAAAAGCCATTTATGTTGCTTGCGGGTAGGAGAATCATGGAAGCAGTCTTTGCTGCTGCACTTTCCCTCCCTTGATTGGATGCCCATAGTGCTCTGACTTCCAAGGGTTAAGGGCGGTTTCATTGGATGAAACCTTTAATAAATAAAATTAGTCAGAAAAACAGGAAGTTTTATATGCCAATCAAATGCGTGCATTTCTTTTATATTCAGGTTTCAGCACTCTCAGACCCCACATCTCCAGCTGACCAGCAAATGCCTCCGGGTGTACAGCAGAACTTGTCAAAACGCAGAAGCAAACACCGTTGTGCATCTCCGCCACCTCCCCATGAATTCCGAGCCTACCAGCTATATACACTTTACCGTGGGAAGGATGGAAAAATCATGCAGGTAACTCAGCCATTCCCTATGAAACTTTATGTATGTACGTAGCGAGTTTCTTGGGGAAATAAAACAGGAAAGGAATTTTGAAGATCCTAAATTTAACAATTTTTAATCTGTGTATTGGAGGAATTAATGGCAAATACCAGGTGTCCCTAATATGGCACCCATGGGCACCATAGTGCCTGGAAGAACCTGTAGTAGTGGTCACTCTCCTCTCCTGTCCTCTCAAAGATGGAATTAAGAAAAAACTTGAAGAAGGCTAGGGCAGTCTTCTTTCTACCTTCTTGCCTTACTCCTTCTCTCTCCTCTACCCCATTGCCTTGCTGTCATCCCTTCCCTTCTGGCCTCTAGTCTTGCTGTTTTTCCTCTCTACCACCTATGCCTCACTTTTGACTAGACAGTTCTATGACTAGCAACACAAAACTGGGGGGAGCTTTTTGTGGTGACGCCTACAGCAGTTTCTCAAAGCCCCAAATGAGGCAATGGATCCAAAAATGTTGAGGTGTATGAAATGCTCCGCATATGACTTTTTGATTTGATTTGGATTCCCAAGTTAATTTCTGATTGCAAGGACAGTGGAGCTAATACTCAAGAATCAGAAACTTCAAGTACCTACGTTAGATATTTTCTTTATTTAATCCTAAAAGGCACCTTGAAGGGCACAATCCTATTGTTCCACATCTCTAACATCATCCAGAAAGTGTTGCTTTGAAAAGTGTTTTAGATTCTCTTCTGTCTAGATCAACATGTGGTTGCACCTTGAATAAAAGAGAACTTGTATTCTCAATGAGAGATCATTAGAAGTAATACTCCTTGGTTCAGGTTTGGTTAATGAGAGTGGAGGGATTATTGATATTTTGTTGGCATAAGTTTATTAAGATAACACAGATTCAGGATTGTAATGTGAAATGTTACAGTTCTACCAAAGCTCATTTTTACTGAAGCATTTCAGGCAAGTTATTAAAGTTATTGCCTACAGGCTTGTTTCTCCAAAGCAGGTCATATCTAATTTATTTGCAGTGCTTGATTTTTCATGCGTACAATCTACATATCTGCTGTTTTCTTCCCATTTGTTTTTCCTCTTGAAAGCCTTATACATTGCTGTTGACTGCCATCGTCTTTGCTGTACACTTAACCAAAAGGTACATTTGACCAAAAAGGTCAAATGCTTAATGTTGTCCTCTTTTTGCAGGCACCAATAAATGGATGCCGCTGTGAGCCCCTGATAAATAAAGTAGAGAACCAGCTGGCAGCTGCCATGGAAGAAATGAAAGCAGAGTTTGTGACAGTGCAGGATAAGATGAATAGCAAACTCGGACAGATGGAAAACAGAACTCAGCATCAGGTAAGGAGGCATCTCAGAGGCAAAATGGGTCTGGAAGCATTAGGAGCCTGATAAGAACACTTCAGTGGTCTACTGACTATAAGTATCATGTGGAAGCTTTTTTGGAGTTCTACATGTGGTAAGCTGCTGTACATAGTACAGTTGCCACTTGGAAAAGCAACAGTATGGAAGCCATTACCTGCAGTCTCCACATTAGGATTATGGGGGTAAATTCACTGTCATCTGAGTGGACGTCCTGCTGGACTTCTCTCCACTAGAGTTTATCAACCCCAACATTTCGGAGCACAGGACTGTGGGAAGGGGGGAATCTGTTCCACCAGTGGCTTCTATTCCACCGGAAGATGACCCTGGTTGGATTCAGTCCTGTATGTGTAGGGCACCCCTTATTTTACATCTCTAGTTTAGTAATACTCCTGGCAGATGTTCAATATAAATCGTCTTAGAAAGAAATTAAGAGGTACTGTAGGTGGGTGGGGGAGATTTAGAGTTTGGAAGGGCAGAAGTCTTCCTGGATCACCCTGTTGGTACCTTACCAGAAAAGGGGGAAAAAGGCAGGAGGCAACCACCAAATATTGGCAGACAACTGCTTTGGTGCTCCATGGTGCTAATGCTGCAATTAATTTTCTTTTTTGCTACCATCAAATTCAGCAATGTCTGTATGGAGGCCATGAGCCTGTCCTTGCCCTAGAAACATGCTTGCAGCTGTCTGAAATAAGTTGTAATGTATTAATATTTTGAACATTGAATTCAGTCTGTATTCAGTAGAAATATACTGTTTCATAAATGTCTTTTGCAGATGTACTTTTTAGCTCTAAATTGTACCATTTGTAAAGTCAAAGGATGGAGGGCAGTTTTACTAAGTAACAAGATTTAATAAGTTAATTTATGCATTGATGTCATTTCTGTTGAACCTTTCCGTTCTCTTACAGCTCCGTGTTTTAGACAAATTAATGGCAGAGAGGCTGTCAGCAGAAAGAACGGAGTGCCTGCATCGACTTCAGGAGCACACTGAATTGGAAAGAAATGAAGGAGAAAAACGTCAGGTACAGGAGAAAAGATTATTATTATTATTATTATTATTATTATTATTATTATTATAACATTTCTATGCCGCCCCTTGCCGAAACCTCGGGGAGGCTTACAACATGATAAAATACATTGAAATACAATAGTACATAATAAATTACCATTAAATACAAAAATACAAAAAATACATTGATTTACAAATATAAAATTAAAATTATCAGTATAAAATAAAAATATAGGAGGAGAAAGAGAAGGAAGAAGAAGTTGCCCTGGCCAGATCATATATTTTAACAATTGAAATGATGTTTAAATAAAAAGGTCTTTACCTGGCGCCGAAAAACCAGTAATGACGGTGCCAGGCGGACCTCTTTGGGGAGTGAATTCCATAGGTTGGGCGCCACCGCAGAGAAAGCCCTCCTCCGGGTACTTACTCTCCTAATTTCTTTCATGGAGGGTTCCCGGAGAAGGGACTCCCGCAGATCTCAAAGGGCGGTCGGGCATATACGGACGTAAGCGCTCGTTCAGGTAGCCAGGACCCAAGCCGTTTAGGGCTTTATAGGTCATAACCAACACCTTGAATTGGGCCCGGGCTTCAATGGGAAGCCAGTGAAGCTGACGGAGGACTGGAGTCATGTGAGCAAAACGCCCCATCCCCGTCAGCAACCTGGCAGCTCTATTTTGCACCAATTGAAGTGTTCGGACTGTCTTCAGGGGAAGCCCCACGTAAAGCGCGTTACAGAAGTCTAGGCGGAAAGTCACCAGCGCGTGTGTCACTGTCGCCAGGCAGTCGTACTCCAGGTAGGGGCGCAGCTGATTAATCAGCCGAAGCTGAAGGAAGGCATTCCTCGCTACCGCTGTCACCTGAGCTTCCAAAGAAAGCTCCTGGTCGAGGAGTACTCCTAAGCTGCGGACCTTATCCCTAAGAGGGAGTGTTGCACCATTCAGGACCAGGTCAAATCCACCCTCTCCGAAACCCGATCCGCCAACCAACAGGACCTCCGTCTTGTCTGGGTTGAGTTTCAGTTTATTGGCCCTCATCCATTCCCTTACCTCGGCCAAGCACTGGTTCAGCACAGCCACTGCCTCACCTGGATTAGTGGAAAACGAGAGGTAGAGCTGGGTATCATCAGCGTATTGATGATTCCGCAGCCCACACCTCCTGATGACCTCTCCCAGCGGTTTCATATAGATGTTAAATAGCAGAGGGGATAGAATGGAGCCCTGTGGTACTCCATGGCATAGCTGCCATGACGTAGAGACATGGTCCCCCAACACTACCTTCTGGAATCGACCGTTGAGATAGGAGCGGAACCACTGCAAAGCAGTGCCTCCAACCCCCAATCCCGCAAGTCTATCCAGAAGGATACCATGGTCGATGGTATTGAAAGCCGCCGAGAGGTCCAGAAGAACCAACAGGGATGTACTCCCCCTGTCCTTCTCCCTGCACAGGTCGTCGTACAGGGTGACCAAGGCAGATTCAGTACTGTACCCGGGTTTGAAGCCGGACTGAAAAGAATCCTATGGACTATGTAAAATAACGAATATGAACATTTCCATTGAAACGCAAAAAGGCAGGAAACAATAAAGGTGCTGAAACAATCTAAAACAATAAAGGTGCTTCAGATGAGGCTTTTATGCTGCACTTCTCCTGCTTCCTTCACAGAATTTTACAGTGTGAACTTTGTAATAGGAGCAGATACCATCTGCTTGTACCCTTCCTGTGTTTTCCTACTTGTCCTTCCATCTTTTCTCTTACTGCAGAAAACTTTTAAGAAAAAAGAACAGAATTGCAGCAGAGCGCCTTCTAGTTAGTAGTGCTTGGAACCCTATACCTGAAAGCACCTTTAAGGTGACAGCAGGTTTGGGGTGGCGAAATGAAGACAGAGAAAAACATTTTTATTTTGAACATTCACAGTTTAGATGCCTGAAAATAGCTCCTTTAATTTAAACAGAATTCAGTTTCCGCCGTCTTTCTCAGCCTTCCCCAGACTACAACTCTCATCATTCCCAACCCTCTGAACAGCACCAGTTTGGGAAGTCTGTTCTTTTCCCACTGAAAATCATCCACAGACTTAACCCATATTATCTAATATTTCTGGTAAAAGAAGTAATCCTCCTCTGCCTTTTCATTGTCTTTCAGGTAGATGACATCTGAATTCCAGTCTTCAAAGGATTTTTTCCAGTAATTTTAAAGTTGTGTTTCATCAATAATAGAAAAAGAAGCAGATACCTCTGTTTCCAGGGAAGCTGGTGATTCTTCTCTCAGTAGGGGTCCTTATCCCTTGCAGCTTTTATTCTGAGCTTTATAGGGTTTATTCGCAGTGCAGAACTCTAGTCTCCAAACAGGTCTACCACCATGCACAATCCCAATATAGAATAAAAGGAGCAATGGATAAGAACTCAGTGGTTCAGGTTCCACTTGGCCGTGAAACTCACTCTGTGCTGCTTTCTGCTAAGGATCCAGTTCTTGGCACTCTTGCTAGGAAGGAAGGAAGATCTGTGACATCTTGGTCTGAGTTAAATAGGTTTGGGTCAGGCTGCACGAGGAACCCGGCATGTGTTTAGCAGCTGGAAAGTGAGATAGTTGTTAACATCTACTTATTTGTACATTGATTTTTTTTCTTTCAGATGACTTTGGTGGGGGAATTGAAAGCTTGGTGTATCTTAAAAATTCAGAATCTGGAGCTGAAGCTTTCTGGAGATTCAAGATCTTCAAGACCAAAATCAAATCTGTCCACGTGTGAGTCACTTACTGAGACTCTGGATACAGAGAACATTCATAGTACAAAGGATTGTAAAACCCCGCTGCAGTCGGATGGCTCGCAACAGCATTCTTGTTCAGTTCTTCAGAATAGTCTCTCAGAAGACACTGGAAAGAGCAGAGTGCCAGCAACGCAAGAGAGCTTTGGGAAGCAGTATTTTGTTGTTCATCAAGCCAGCACATCAGGTATTTTTTTCAAGTTTTAGTTAGCAATAATGTAACTAAATTGCTACATTTGTCCGTTGCATTAAAAATAAGTTTAAATAATTTAAATAAAATTAATGCATGGGTCCTTTGGCATAGAATAGAGCTGTCAATATAAATTTCATCTCTGTGTGTGTGTATTGTATGAGGCAACATACATACCCTCTCCCTATGTCATGGTATCCTTTTCCACACCAGTCAAGAGAAGCTAATAGCAATTATCAGCATACATTGTTTTCAGTGAATATACAGTAGAGGTGAGAAATAGATTTAAGGAATTAGATCTGATAGACAGAGTGCCTGAAGAACTATGGACAGAAGTTTGCAACATTGTACAAGAGGTAGCAACTAAAACCATCCCAAAGAAAAAGGAATGCAAGAAAGCAAAATGTCACTAGTGGGGGCGACAGTATTCCAGCTGAGCTGTTCAAAATCCTAAAAGACGATGCAGTAAAAGTGCTACACTCAACATGCCAGTAAATTTGGAAAACTCAACAGTGGCCACAGGATTGGAAAAGGTCAGTTTACATTCCAATCCCAAAGAAGGGCAATGCCAAAGAATGTTCAGACTACTGCACCATTGCACTCATTTCCCATGCTAGCAAAGTTATGCTCAAAATCCTACAAGCTAGGCTCCACCAGTATGTGGACCGAGAACTACCAAAAGTACAGGCAGGATTTTGAAGAGGGAGAGGAACTAGAGATCAAATTGCCAACATATGCTGGATCATGGAAAAAGCTAGGGAGTTCCAGAAAAACATCTGCTTCTGCTTCATTGACTATGCAAAAGCCTTTGATTGTGTGGATCACAGCAAATTGTGGCAAGTTCTTAAAGAGATGGGAGTGCCAGACCATCTTATTTGTCTCTTGAGAAACCTTTATGTGGGTCAAGAAGCAACAGTGAGAACTGGACACGGAACCACTGGTTGGTTCAAAATTGAGAAAGGAGTTTGGCAAGGCTGTATACTGTCACCCTGCCTATTTAACTTATATGCAGAGCACATCATGAGAAAGGCGGGGCTAGATGAATCACAAGTTGGAACTAAGATTGCTGGGAGAAATAGCCACAACCCCAGATATGCAGATGATACCACTCTAATGGCAGAAAGTGAAGAGGAACTAAAGAGCCTCTTGATGTGGGTGAAGGAGGAGAGCACAAAAGTTTGCTTGAAACTCAACATTAAGAAAACTAAGATCATGGCATCCGGTCCTCTCACTTCCTGGCAAATAGATGGGGAAGAAATGGAGGAAGTGACAGATTTCATTTTCCTGGGCTCCAAGATCACCGCAGATGGGGATTGCAGCCAAGAAATTAAAAGACGCTTGCTCCTGGGGAGGAAAGCTATGGCAAATCTAGACAGCATACTAAAAAGCAGAGACATCACCCTGCCAACAAAACTGTATAGTCAAGGCTATGGTTTTCCCTGTTGCAATGTATGGCTTTGAAAGTTGGACCATAAGGAAGGCTAAGCACCAAAGGATTGAGGCCTTAACTGTGGTGCTGGCGGAGACACCTGCGAGTCCCTTGGACTGCAAGGCGGTCAAACCAGTCAATCCTAGAGGAGATCAACCCTGACTGCTCTTTAGAAGGCCAGATACTGAAGTTGAAACTCTAATCCTTTGACCACCTAATGAGAAGGAAGGACTCCCTGGAGAAGACACTGATGCTGGGAACAATTGGCGACAAAAGAATGGGACGGCAGAGAATGAGGTGGCTAGATGGAGTCACTGAAGCAGTTGGCGTGAGCTTAAGTGGATTCCGGGGGATGATGGAGGATAGGAAGGCCTGGAGGAATGTTGTCCATGGGGTCGCGATGGGTTGGACACGACTTCGCGACTAACAACAACAACTGTTTTCAGGTGAAGAATAGTAGGATGTAGCCATTTGCTACTACAGCCATTGGCTTATCTAGTCCATTATTGACTGTCAGTGGCTCTACTGGATTTCAGGAAGAATTTTTTCCTGCCATCTCTGGAGATGCCATGAATTGAACTGGGGGCCTCAAAATCATTCCAGCAATCAAACACAGATGGGCAATCTTCAGCACCTTCAGTGCCATGGAAGGAAATACAGACTTGCCTCTCTACTTTGCGAACTTGGAAGGATTGACTAGGTACATTCAGCAGCAACTGGCACTCTGGAGAGCTCTTGTTAAAACTGTGAAGGGGAATTAGCCTAGAAGAGAAACTTAACAAAGATGATTAAAGTGAGACTATTTATGTACCATAGTTATATGGCCATCCACTAACATAAGTTCTTTGAGGGGCTTACAGAACCAAGAATAAATCCAGGGCAGGGGTTAGATCCAGGATCTGCCTTCTGCAATAGGAAGGGGCTCCTGGAGGAACACTCCACCTGATTTTTGGTGATCTCCCTTCCCCGGAGTTCATCTCATTCAGCAGAGTCTCCTGTCTCTCCGAGCAGCGTTTCAGTGGTCTGGAGGACCTGCTATGGGAAAGTATGTGTGGGGAGTCTATTTTCCAATAGTAGTGATCCAGCTTACATCCGGATCTAACTCAATATTTACCAGTAACACCGCCCTCCCCCCAAAAAAGTTCCTTTTTTTTTTTTTTACAGCAGAAAAGTAAGACTGATTAGCAACTCAGTGTTCGGAAGCTTGTAAAAAGCAAAGCAAATGCACCTGAAAACTAAATATCAACAGAAATGCAATTTATTTTCAAGTCCTTGGTAAATTCATCATCTTTCCAGTATGACATTTTTATTTACCCAGGACTTTGCATTTCTGTTGTTTTTTATTCAGATTTTATTGCAGAGAAACCCCGTTCATAGGAATATACTAAAAAAAGGCAACTATCCAGAAAACACTGCACTGGAGTAGGTTTCTCTACGCTTGATTCCTGAACGCTTGATGACTGGCAATTAAATATATGCCCTTACTCCACTAGAAAGTACTAGTTCTTTTTCAGAAGTTCTTTTTCAGAACTTTTTCAGAACTGAAAAAGAACAGAAGTTCTTTTTCAGATAGCCAATAAAACACGGATGTTTTCAGTTGCTGTATGCATTCTGAAATTTGCTTGCAACCATGAAACAGCCTTCCTTAATGAGGGCATCTGCTTTTTTCATATCACTGTGCACAGAAACAACTCATTGTTTGTGCTGACTTCTTTACAGGAACAGAGCACCAGTCAGCTGGAGCTGGCCCAGCTCCTTCTGCAGCATCTCCTCAAGCTGTGAGGCCTAAGGACAAAGCAAGCCTCAGCAGACTGCCGCACGAACTGCCACCAGCTGAATACTCGGGTTCTAAATTAAAGCATGTTAAGCTACAAACTGTTTCACAGGGTCCTGCAGAATTGACAAAGGGAGAGTCACAGAGTGGCTGCCTTATAGACAAGGGAACTCAAACAAAGAAACCTGGCAGAAGCAGTCAGCAGAAGCATAGGTCCCATCAAGCTGGAGGGACTCAACCTGCGCAGCAGCAGTCGCTTCCTGCCTCTGGAGGAAAGGAGCCCAGCTCTCAACTTGCAGGCACTTCTCAGGCTCTGGAAATTACACAGTACTTCTTTGAGGCTGTATCAACTCAGATGGAGAAGTGGTATGAAAGGAAGATTGAAGAAGCTCGGAGCCAAGCAGACCAGAAAGCCCAGGAAGATAAAGCAGTTCTCAAAGAACACATCAAAAGCTTGGAAGAGGAACTGTACAAACTAAGGACTAAAGTGCAGAAGGAAAACTAGAAGTCCTTTATGCTGATGAAAAGATACAGAGAAACTGCTATGTTCACAAATAGCAAGTAAGCTTTTTTTTTATTTTTGCAGGTACAGCACTGGGGAATTCTACAAGCTGTTCCGCATATGTGGATTTGTGGCCTTTTCAGATGTTGAGGGTTGTGTTCACGCAGAGACCTCAAGGAATCTAGACATAGTTCCTCAAAGTAGCATTTCATTTTTGGGAAAATGCACTGTTTTTTAACCTCCCCTTGCCAGAAACATGTTTATTTTCTCCCCATAATGTAGTGCCAGTTGAGATAGCCATTCTGTGTAGAATGTGGTTGTGTAATGTATTTGTGTTGCTGGGGGTGAGTGAGGCACTCTGCCCCCATCTTTCCAGTGCCTGTGCCATTTTTTAAAAAAGTTTTACTTAATATATATTTTTAACATATTCTTTTGAAACTGAGTGTTCTTTTGCTGTAGCGCTCAAGCTCACAAGTGCTTATGTTCCTTTTGAAAATAAAAGCAGTAGTGGCCAACCTTAGTAAGGTGATCCCTTCCTTCTGCATAGGACTATGCTGCCATTATATGAATTCTGTGTGCTCCCCGGTCTCGATCAGCGAAGGCCGTGCTTCTGTGCACATGTCCTTAACTGTATGGGGAACTGTTCACACAAACCAAGTGTGTGTTGTAATCCCAAACTCCAACCTGCATCAAGTCACAATTATATTGATCAGCTCTTTAAGAGACAGAGATGACAGATGGTGGGGTAGATTTAACTGCCCGCCTCTCAAAAAGCTAATTAGTTTGTTTATAGTCAGCAGGGGTGGTAGTATAATAGAATATAATCTTTGTTATGTTTGTGCCTCAATATCCCCTCCAAATTCTTATTCAAGGTACAGTAACAAGCTTACCAGTCTGCCTCTTAAAGGAAACCCAGTGTTTTCAAGCTGTAATGGAAGTGTTGTATACTTAATACAGGGATTAAGGGAATACTTGTGCTTCTCTGGATGACTTGATCTGCAGCTCCATCTTCATTCATCATGCCAATGTTAGAGCTGATGTGATTTGTAGACCAAAAACATCTGGATGGTCACAAGTTCCCTGCTTAATGTTACATCTCTTTTGGATGAGGTATGTAAATGTAAATAAGTATTTTTGTGAGTAATTCTGTACCTGAGCACATGTGTTTAATAATTGTGAAGCAATTATTGATAGATAGTAAAAACATGTGCTTCCAGTTCTGAGTCCACTGTTTGGTGAACTGAGTTGCCCAAGTGAATAAAGAAGTTGAGTTGGCCACCTCGATCCTAAAGCAGATTTTGTCTTAACCATATTTCATATGAATGTAGGGCTCTATTCATTACGACTTCTGTGCCTTCACTAGTTCTGTTGTGCCTCCAAGAACCACTGGTATGCAACAGGGACTAGTGCTTCTGAAAGGAGCCCCCCAAATGCTTGTTTGTAGAATGGGGCAATCGGCAGTGCTCCCATCTGCAAGGTCCACCAACTGCCCCGTTGCAGAAACAAGTGTTTTTTGCTCCTTCTGGTAGTATTATGAAGCATTAGCCTTCTGTTGCACTGGTTGTTGCTTCTGTTAGCACAGGGATACCTACCCTTTACCTTTTAGCAAAACTAGTCCTACCATCTGCATATACAAGTTGCCTCTGACAGACTGGGATGTCTGGGTCTTCCTAATGTACCAGCATTTCACTTATTAAAATATTTTGCTAATGTTTCTTTAAGGAAGTCTCGAGTGCTATGTTTTAAGTGTTTTGTGTTTAAAAAAGATAATTGAAACTATGTCACAGGTTCAGTTCTGTGTAATACTAGAATGAAGTTTGGACCAATTTCACCATCGCTTTTTTCCCCAAAATTAAAATGGCCTAATCCATTTAAGAGACTCCACTATGCACAATTAGGCATACGCTTCCAGGATTGGGAACCACTAGCATAGACTAGATGAGCTTCTTGGTGATGACAGAATATTTACATACTGTATTGCTTCAGCTGGGAAGTACATAGAGATATGCATCTGAATTCATTTCCACATTCTCCACAACTAGAGCTGGACTGAGGTCAGAGGTAGTCTCAGGTACCAACATAGTTCAATAGACACAGAGCTTACCTCGCACACAAGATTATAAACAACTGAAATTAAGTCTTTGGAGAAGTGCAATGGTTGTGTCTGGAAAAAGTACATAAAAGTTCTTTATGCATGAAGTATTCATTTTTCCTAATCCAGATAATTACATATTTTACTTTCACATTTTAAAAAAGCATGTGTTTCTATCATTTATAGCCCTTTCCTGGAAAAAGAGATTTAATTTAAATCACATAAAGAATTTAAATCCTACAGTCCTGAAATATGTAAGCATATTAAATGTACATGGGTTGAAACAAGTTACAGTATTGCTCATGCCAGAGGCAAATTGTGGAGGAGCAAATCGTGTGACATACCAGGATCATTTCTTGATAAGTTGCATTCTGTACATTCAGTAATGTATTATAGTTCTTTCCATCTTCTGTATGTGTGTGCCACCATTTGGTAAAACATCACACAGTAGACCTTGTGTAGCTGGGTGCAGCGGTACTCAGCTCTAACAGCCATGACTGGTTTGTGGGAGGGGCCACCGGGTCCTGTTGTTTCCCCCCGCCCTCTGTAATATAATTTTTTATGACTATGTGGAGAGCTTCACGTGCAACCATATGAGCACAGTTCATTAGGATCAAAATGTGCAATCCAGAGAATTACAGGCATATGTAAGCTGCACTAAACTCCATGGATGTACAAGAATCCTATTGATTTTAAGCAAATGTATGTGTGGCTATGGATACGTGCAGGTTTTCCACTTCAGGACACTCTGAGGTTTCTTGAAGCTGAGTATTTCACCATGGTTTGTTATCCTGGCTTGGTTCAGACAATATGATAAATCATATTTCAACAACAACCTACACTTAACCCTTGAGCATGGGTTATCCTGTCATATGATTCCATAGAAAAAGAACATACAGCTAACTAAATAAGAGTTCAGAAATAGTTGTGCATTCTGTTCTACATAACAATTTTGGAATTATACTACCTATGAAATGTAGTTTTATATGGAAAATATCTGTACAGTTCCTGCTGAATTACTTGTGACATGTAGAGTATATAAACTGAATTGTATTGGACACATTGGTTTGCATTTGACGTTCCAAGAGCTTTAATTCCAAGAACCTTAAGAAAACACGCAGCTGCTGCTTGTAATGCTAAGTAACTAACATACAAACAAAGATTGTTCTCATAAAGATCTGCGAGCTTTCAATTCCCAATGAAGCCCTTGGATAGCAAGGTAAGTGCTTTTGGTCCTTCACCTGTTTCTCACTGTGGCCAAACAGATACTTTCTGAAACCCAAAGGGGCAATGGGTGGGGAGGGGGAGTCAACCAAACCCTTTGAATTGATATGTCAGTCATCCTTACGCAAGGCAAATACACCAACTGGTAAAGATCCAGTACTTTAATTTGTCAAAGCATAAACAAAAGCTAGTGTAGAATTAAGTTATTACAATACTTGGTTATATTCTGGTGTTCACAGGTTCAATTAACAATTTTGAGGTAGTAAACATCAGTTCTGCATTTCTGACATGCCCAGCTCAGCATGGCTTTAGACATGGCTTCTTGCTCCTTTCCCTTGAGTGTTTTTTCACATCACACCTGAACCTTCACATAAACTTTAGTTTTCATACCCTAATGTGGCATTATGCAGCCTGCCTAGGTTTTCTTGCTGATTCCTAGGAAGGATGCAGAGGGTCACTCTTGGATTCTGTGAGGTCCCACCAGAATGTCTTCTAGGGAAGTGACACCAAAAAAATACTGTGGCCCAGTATATTCTGTGACTAGGATCTGGCCAGCTTTAGTGTTCGCTCCAGTTCTTGAAGCTGTAGGTTACCTTGAGTGATCATCATTCTAATAGTATCCTGTAAAACAAAAAGATTTACTTAGTAAAGAATTGGAAGGTCTTTGCACGCACACATAATGGCTGAATTTGTGCAGGATGAGCCTTCATTTTTTGGATTCCAGTTCAAATGAACTGCATACTGGTGCATGTAGCCTATTTGTTCCCACTTTGCTAAATAAAGTATCCTGGCTTGTACAAGCCAGAAACAAGCCAGGGTTTCTTCTTGGTTTACACTTTCTTATTTGTTCGGGAGCATCAAGCCGGGAATCTTTGTTTGAACAATACACAAAACAAATCCTTCCTGACCTGTTTAGTGGCTGCTCTAATGATGAGGAACAAAGTGAAAGCAAACAACAAGCTGTTCATTCACAATAAGCTAGAACTAATGGAAGGTGCCTCTAGGCACTTTTGGGGAATCCCTTCCTTTCCCAATTCCAGTCCATTCCATTCAGCAGGTTGCCTGCACCCTCTGTGGAGGCAGGGAGAGAACTCCACCTTGGTCGCCCAGTTGCATGTGGCTAAATCTGAATCCAACCCTTGATGTAGAACAGGGGTCCTCAAACGTTTTAAACGGGGCCAGTTCACTGGCCGGGGGGGCTGGACTATAGTCTCAAAAAATATGAATTCTTATGCACACTGCACATATCTTATCTGTAGCACAAAAAGCAGGAAAAAATACAATATTTAAAATGAAGAACAATTGTAATCAACATAAACTTACTAGTATTTCAATAGGACGTATGGGCCTGCTTTTGGCTAATGAAATAGTCAATGTCTGGTTGCATATTCGCTCTACTCTTCTGTATTCTTGCGCCTCTCTTCTGCATTCAGAGCCCCAATGCAGGTGTGCAATAGGGAGAAGAGCCAGTGTGTGCACAATTCACACTGGCCAGACCAGCACAGCAGCAGGAGATAGCCAGAGCTAGCAGAGAGAGCCGGCACACACACAGTTGAAGGGAGTTGTTACAATTTGGTACATGCAGCGGCTCTCTGCTAGTCTGCCAAACTGAAAGAGATTCAGAGTACGCCTACACTGGCTCAGAGCTTTCGGACACGTTCAGAGATTCAAACAAGTCTGAAAGCTCTGAGGAGGGCCGGGTAAAGGACCTTGGTGGGCCATATCTGGCCCGTGGGCCGTAGTTTGAGGACTCCTGGTGTAGAAGAACCCCGAGCTCTGTCCTGGTACTTGAAAGAAACAGGTATGGGCATTCTTGAGTTCTAAGGCCAGAACTGAGCTCAGCATATCTTTGTCTTCTGTCTTATAGGATCCCATAAGTCTGAAGTCTCCCACACCTAAGATAATCAGCCTTGGGAATGTCCCATCTATCCTTTAATCCCATCTACCAAGGCCATGCAACTGAACAGCTCTGATATTTCCCAGACATCACAACTACTAAGTGTAGTGCGCCAAGGGAACAAACCTGCATGCAGACAAACCTGCCAATGACCATCTCTCACCTCATCTGCAGCAACTTTGTTTCTTTTGAATTCTTCCCTTGCCCAGTCTCTCAGGTATTGACGATCTGCTTCTTTGGGTACTTGGCGAATTGCCTGCAGAATTTTTCTATACAACTGAAGAACCTCTTGCCTTCTCAGGAACTACAACGTAGCCAGTGAAAGAAAGGATGGGTCTATTATCTTTTGGGACAAGCCACATATGGGGCTACGAACAGCTGATTAAGGGGTCTTAAATTGAACTAATCCACTAGTACATCTTATCCAGTACTGTTTACTATGACTGGCAACAACTCCCAAACTAGCACCTTTGGATTGTTTTCAGTAGAGTAGGCAACACACAACTGCCTTGCTGCACATGGGTACCCTGTATAAGTTTCGTCACCCCCACTCGGTCTCCAATATTCGTGACATGGTCTCCACTACCAGCATGCCACCAGGGGAAATGTGTTTCTGTCAGAAAGCAAGGTACACACTCCCTGCTTACTTAGTTTTCCCTGCATTATCAGTGGAAATGCAGACACGGGGCCACTTTCAGTTGTGGTAAGGGCTGCAGGATGAGATCCCCAAAGGAACATGATACACACAGTCCACAAAAAAGTTGTACGTTTATACATACTGGAGCACATACAGAACATTTAATCATTTTAATCTATAGCCACCATCACTTCCATTTCAGACTTCCCACAACACCTCAGCAAGACACCAGCTTTTTTCATTTAGGGAAGGAAGGTGAGAACATGTTTATACAGAAAATTATTTCACTTGAAAATACTCTGCATTCTTAAGCCTTGCTAAACCATGTATTTTTCGCTGAGAAACAAAACGCGCTAGAAGCAGGGCAGGAGCATCGCTTTCTCTTCAAAAACGAAGCTTTAAGTCCTGAATTCTGCATCCACAAGGCAAGAACGGAGCTTGCGCTTCTAACGAAAGTTCACGGAAGACAATCGGGCAGTTGTTGAAAGCAGAGCAAGGACAATTCTAGGATAGCTCTTTTCACCATCGGAGAAACATTCCCCTCCGTTTTCAGATACTACGCCAGGAATAGCTTCACCAGATGCATGTATTCTAGGGGTGCAGGGAGCAACGCCACAGGCTCTCTACCAGCAGCAACCCTCAAACGGGTTGTAGAGCACAAAAGGAAACGATCTAAGCAGCTTTACGCTTGAGGAGCATCACGACTGGGGTGCAGAGGGGGAGCTCGTGCATTTGCTGTGTGCTGGGCTGCTTTCAGGGGTACAGAACTGAGAGTTGCAGCTAGGGGTCCTCTAAAAGCCCAGCCAAGAAAGGAAAAAACAGGCAGCCGCTTCGGTCTTCTTTAAACCCGCCGCCTCCCAGGCTCTCCAGGCCGCAGCCTTCCCCTGTTGCCAACCAGGAGGCGCCAAGGTGCTGGCCCGCTTCCGGGGGCTGGGAAGGCGCGTCGGTGGCGAGCCCCCAGCCTGCCCTCCCCTCCTCTACCTGCTTCAGGGTCAGCGTCGCCGGTGGGAGCCGGGACGTCCCCGCCATGCCTGACGGACGGCCGCCCACCCGTCCGCTCGGCCTCTTGCGGCTCTTTAGCGCCTCTCGTGGCGTATATGGAGGGACGGAGGGAGAGGCGCGCTGCCCCGCCTCCAGCGGCCTCCCGCCCCGCTTAAAGCAGCCCGGCGCTGTCCGCGGCGATGAACTCCGCTCGCTTCCGCCGCTGCGCTCAGCGGCCCTTGCAAAGGAGAAAGGAGCGCGTCTTGTGCAGCTGTTAATTGGGAAGCCCGGAAGCGCCTCACTGGTCCGGGATGGGGGGCGGGATGCAAGAGTCGTGCCCCGCCAAGGGAACGGGCGCCTTGTGGGCTTCCAAGTCCTGTCGCCTGCAGCTCCCACCAGGCTTCGTTGGCGAGGGGTGATTTATTTTATGTATTTATATGCTGCCTTGTTTCAAGACTGAGTTGCAACAACAGCCCTGTGAGATAGGTTGGGCTGATAGTCTGTGACTGGCCAAAGTCACCCTGTTGGCTCCATGGCTGAGCGGAGACTGGAACCCCAAACTCCTTATTCCTATCCTGCCTTCTTAGCTACTACACCACACTGGATCCCAGTGGGAATTGTGGGTGCAAACATGTGGGAGATACACATACAGCTGTTATAATTCTAACTTGAGGAGGGTGGGACATGTGCAGGTGAGGTACTTCGTACATGCTCAGCAGTACTCATGTTACCACACAGGTTCCAGACAAAAAAGCTGCAGTTTTTTGGAAAGGAAAGGCTGCTTAGGAAAAGTCTCCCCCCCACCCACGCATAATTTTTCCCACTGCCATGAAGGTAGCCACAATAGTTTAAGAGTAAACTGCAACAACCACGTTATATACTTTTGGAAATGATTTCATTTGATCAGTGGGATGGGAAACGAGAAAATTATTTGCCTTATGCTGCAACACTTCTTGCTGGACATCTTCAATGCAACCTTCTCCAACCTAGCACTTTCCAGATGCATTGGACTGCAGCTCCCATCAACCTCACCCTCATTCTCCAGGTGTTGCTTTCTATAAAACCAAAACAGCACCACATACAAACAAAAGGTGGCAGGATTAGAGAAATTAAAGGTTTGAAGTACAGAAAATTCTATGGATAAAAATCCTAAAGGATCAAACAGTGAAATAGGCATCTTTTGTTCAAAAGAATATTTTTATGAATAACAAAAACTATTTAAGATAAAAATTTAAATAGGCACCTGATAGGGTTGCATTAAGTATAAGAACAACATTCTTTGCAGGAAGCCATATGAAAACAGCTGTTTATATATCGTTCACCACAAGAATAAGATTCCACACTATTCTTTTTCTATATTTATGATGCTGCCGAGAAGGGCATGGGCAAGATGTAGTCTTCCATCAGTCTTAACCATTGATGGGGTGTGTAAGCCAACTCATCTGAAAGGCCTCAAGTGGCCCCTCCTGCTGCAGAGGGAACTGCATAATCTGTTTGTTGGGCCAATGCTCCTTACTCTTTGCTCTTATTAATTAATTAATAAGCCTCGGGGTGGCTTACAAAGCAGAATAAACAAACATAGAATAAACATTAAAAATCCGGAGCATCTTGGCAATAGTGTAAAACCAATAAATAGAAACAACAATTAATAATTAAAATATCGTTTAACTAAAAAGGTCTTGGCCTGGTGCCGCCTGGTGCCAGGTGGACCTCTCTGGGGAGCGCATTCCATAGGTGGGGTGCCACCGCAGAGAAGGCGCTCTTCTGGGTACTCACCCTCCTAAAATCATTCACAGAGGGCTCCCGGAGAAGGGCCTCCTTCGCCGATCTTGGGGCGGGAGGGCATATATGGACGCAAGCGTTCCTTTAGATAACCAGGACCCAAGCCGTTGAGGGCTTTATAGGTGATAACCAACACCTTGAATTGGGCCCGGACTTCAATGGGGAGCCAGTGGAGCTGACGGAGGACTGGGGTTATATGAGAACAACACCCAGTCCCCGTCAGCAACCTGGCAGCTCTATTTTGCACGTATCCGGACCATCTTCAAGGGCAGCCCCACGTAGAGCGCATTACAGAAGTCTAATCAGGAAGTTACCAGTGCATGTGTCACAGTCTCCAGGCAATCCTCGTCCAGGTAGGGACGCAGCTGATGGATCAGCCGAAGGTGAAGGAAAGTGCTCCTCGCCAGCACTGTAACTTGAGCTTCTAATGACAGCTCTGGGTTGAGGAGCACTCCCAAGCTGCGGACCCTGTCCCTAAGAGGGAGTGCAACCCCATTCAGGACAAGGTCCAGGTCTCCCACCCCGAAGCCCGACCCACCTACCAACAGGACCTCCATCTTGTCTGGAATGAGCTTCAGTTTATTGGCCCTCATTCAGCCCATTACCTCGGCCAGGCACCGGTTCAGTACAGCCACTGCCTCACCTGGATTGGTGGAAAACAAGAGGAAGAGCTGGGTATCATCAGCGTATTGATTCCGCAGCCCACACCTCCTAATGACCTCTCCCAGTGGTTTCATGTAGATGTTGAATAGCAAGGGGGACAAAATGGACCCCTGCGGTACTCCATGGCAGAGTCATAGTCCCCCAGCACCACCTTCTGGAATCGGCCATTGAGATCCGGATGGATTCCTGAAGGCCCTGGGGGAGTTTCCGGCTGACAAGACTGGTGCTCCTGTCGAGGCTCTGGTCGAACTGTGGAACGGAGAGATGACCAGGGCTGTGGACACGATCGCTCCCAAGCGTCCTCTCCCACCGGGCAGAGTCCGCTCTTCCCCTTGGTATACACCTGAATTGCGGACGATGAAGCGGGTTGGGAGACAACTAGAGCGTACGTGGAGGAAATCAAAATTATTGGAGGAATTTCAATTATTGCGGCCCGATGATGTGGACAAGGTGCTTGGACGAGTACGTCCCACCACTTGCCAATTGGATCCTTGCCCGTCTTGGTTAATAAATAACTCCAAGCACAGGATTGGGACCTGGATCTTGGAAGTGGTTAACGCTTCTCTGAGGGAGGGTCGAGTGCCTGCCCCTTTAAAGGAGGTGGTAATACGACCGGTCCTGAAGAAAGGGTCACTGGATCCAGAGATGGCCACTAACTATAGACCTGTGGCCAACATCCCGTTTCTGGGCAAGGTGTTGGAGCGAGTGGTGGCGGGACAACTCCAAGCACTCTTGGATGAAACTGATTATCTGGATCCTTTTCAGTCCGGCTTCAGACCCGGGTACAGTACTGAATCTGCCTTGGTCGCCCTGTACGATGACCTGTGCAGAGAGAAGGACAGGTGCAGAGAGAAGGACAGGGGGAGTGCATCCCTGTTGGCTCTTCTGGACCTTTCAGCAGCTTTCGATACCATCGACCATGGTATCCTTCTGGATAGGCTAGCGGGATTGGTGGTTGGAGGCACTGCTTTGCAGTGGTTCCACTCCTATCTCAACGGTCGATTCCAGAAGGTAGTGCTGGGGGACCATGTCTCTGTGTCATGGCAGCTATGCCATGGAGTACCACAGGGCTCCATTCTATCCCCTCTGTTATTTAACATCTATATGAAACCGCTGGGAGAGGTCATCAGGAGGTGTGAGCTGCAGAATCATCAATACGCTGATGATACCCAGCTCTACCTCTCGTTTTCCACTAATCCAGGTGAGGCAGTGGCTGTGCTGAACCGGTGCTTGGCCGAGGTAATGGAATGGATGAGGGCCAATAAACTGAAACTCAACCCAGACAAGACGGAGGTCCTGTTGGTTGGCAGATCGGGCTTCGGAGAGGGTGGATTTGACCTGGTCCTGAATGGTGCAACACTCCCTCTTAGGGACAAGGTCCGCAGCTTAGGAGTACTCCTCGACCAGGAGCTTTCTTTGGAAGCTCAGGTGACAGTGGTGGCGAGGAGCGCCTTCCTTCAGCTTCGGCTGATTAATCAGCTGCGCCCCTACCTGGAGTACGACTGCCTGGCGACGGTGACACATGCGCTGGTGACTTCCCGCCTAGACTTCTGTAATGCGCTTTACGTGGGGCTTCCCCTGAAGACGGTCCGAACACTTCAATTGGTGCAAAATAGAGCTGCCAGGTTGCTGACGGGGACGGGGAGTTATGCTCACATGACTCCAGTCCTCCGTCAGCTTCACTGGCTTCCCATTGAAGCCCGGGCCCAATTCAAGGTGTTATGACCTATAAAGCCCTAAACGGCTTGGGTCCTGGCTACCTGAACGAGCGCTTACGTCCGTATATGCCCGACCGCCCTTTGAGATCTGCGGGAGAGTCCCTTCTCCGGGAACCCTCCATGAAAGAAATTAGGAGAGTAAGTACTCAGAGGAGGGCTTTCTCTGCGGTGGCGCCCAACCTATGGAATTCACTCCCCAAAGAGGTCCACCTGGCACCGTCGTTACTGGTTTTTCAGCGCCAGGTAAAGACCTTTTTATTTAAACATCATTTTAATTGTTAAAATATATGATCTGGCCAGGGCAACTTCTTCTTCCTTCTCTTTTCTCCTCCTATATTATTTACTTATTTTATACTGATAATTTTAATTTTATGTTTGTAACTCAGTGTATTTTTTGTATTTTTGTATTTAATGGTAATTTATTATGTTCTATTGTATTTCAATGTATTTTATTGTGTTGTAAGCCGCCCCGAGGCTTCGGCAAGGGGTGGCATAGAAATGCTATAATAATAATAATAATAATAATAATAATAATAATAATAATAATAATAATAATAATGAGTGGAACCACTGCAAAGCAGTGCCTCTAACTCCCAATCCTGCAATCTTTGGGAACTGCTCTTCATTTCTTAAGAATACTTCATATCAAGAATAACTAGAGTAATTCAAATATATTCAGTTGAGGGAAAAAACCCAAACTAAGAAAAAGGGTTGGACTAAGAATGCATCAGAGTAGTAAAAGGGCCCACTTGAAATAAATGAGTGCTACAGTTCACCTTCCTTTTCTTCTTCCCTTGATCTGTTGGCTGCTCTTCCCTTTCCTCTGTTCAGCATTGAATGTTACATCCTTGATGTTTAACCAAGTTTTACTCCCTTGTGTTGCTTCTGTGCTGCATAAACTGGGAGCTGTGGCAAGTCAGTCAAGCTGAAAGGTTGTGGAGCTCAGCAGCAAGGAAGCACCAGGCAGTGCCAGCATCACACTTCCTCTGTACAAATCTGTGGTGTGACCACACTTAGAATATTATGTGTATGGTTCTGGTTGCCACACCTAAGAGAGGATGAATATTGGGAAAAGTGCAGAAAAAGACAACTGGCATGGTTGGAGCAACCCAACCCCTGAAGCAAGGTAACATCTGAGCTGGGTTTGCTTAGAAAAAAGGACAGTTATAGGGGATAGAAGTGTACAGAGTTATGCATGATGTGGGAAAAGTGGATCGTCATTTTGCTTGCTCTTACCATACCAACCCCAGAATCATGAAGCTGAATGGTGGGAGATTTAGGTCAGACAAAAATTCTTCTTTACGTACCACATAGTGAAAATATGGCATTCACTTTCACAAGTAGTAGTACTGGCTACCTCTTGGATGGATTTAAAAGGAGGATGAACTTATCAGTGGGTATTAGGTTGACCAACAGCTGCAATTCCAGGCAGTCCCTGGGTTATACACAAGGTCCATTCTTGAGAATGTCCTTAAGTCAAATCATATGAGCAAGCCAAATGTTTCTCTTACTGTATGTATTTTACCTTTCTATGAAGATAAAGCACTCAAGAAACACTTCTATATCCACTAAAACATATTAAACACAATACAGCATTGTAGTGATGACAATGATGATGCAACTACAGGTGCTTAAGACAGAGGAAATCAGTGTGTGTGTGTAGGTATACACTACTGAAAAAACTGTCCTAACTTGCCCCTTATGCCTGGCTTAATGTGCGTTTGAGCTTCATTGTCTGTCTTTAATTTTAATGTAAGCCCAGTAGAAAAAACTTGGATTTTTAGAAATGACTTATCAGTCCCTCATTATTTTCCAGAGTTCTCTGATAATGGGCTGCTGGAGCACCATAGTCCAGTGCCTGCTTATTCAGAAAAGTTTAATCCATGGTGAATTAGTCTCAATGGGCCCGTGTACAGGGGCAGAGGTGGCCGAGCGTTTGTTGAGCTATTTCCAGTTCCTGATGGAGCACAAGGCTTATTGGAAGAGGGGGCAAACATGTTCTTTGAAGTGCTGAAGAGCTCAGTGGAGAAGATGAAAACTTTTGGTCTAAGGAAATGGTTTTCCATGACTATCTACAGGGAACTATGCGGCCACTGATGACATGTCACAAAATGCATTGCACAGTTCCCTAGAGATATTCATGGCTTTTTTCTAGAGATAGTCATGGCAAAAATAAACAGCCCTTTCAAGATCAATTTCATAAGTTACCTAAGTTTATATAAAGTCAAACTATTTTAAACTAATTTAGCTAATTTAAGCAAATAATGAAGACCAAAGTTAGAAACAACATATTTATTAATAATCACAAATGATGCATAGTTTTTGCAATGAAAAATGGGTTGAGAGGCAAAAGAGTCCGGTGCATGCGTTTAGGATATCAAAATGCATGTTGTAATATTTGCCTAGGACAGAGGTCAAACGTCACAGTGTAAAATGAAATGCAGCATCTTCTCTGTCATAAAAATACCCTACTAGCATTATCAGACAACCAGCAACTATTCAGCAACATTGAACAGTTTCAAGTATTCACATAGCAGTTTGTTTTTTTGGCTGTGTAAAATCTAAGCCCCGCCGCCCTGCTTTGCAACATAGAGTCTACTTGCATGTGAGCAAGGAGACAGTTTTAAAGATGATGGTTAGAAAGCTTTAGTTGCAACTTCCTCTCTCATAAGCAAGACTAGCTTCTTACTACTATAGGAACAGAGTCTTAGGAATTGCGTATTTCATAACAGTATCGAAATACTAAATAAACCTTAGAATAAATTACTTAAAAGAGTAATCAAAGGAAGGTGGTTGTTTCCCACAATTTCCAGATACAAAAAAGTGAACACTGTTCAAATTGACCAGGGATTGCATAGTCTCCATCACTGTCATGAGAGAATGTGTGTTTTGTGTGATTTATGGCTCATTTCAACAGCAGCTCAAATTCACTGATGAATTGGCAATAAGATATCATTTGACTTGGCAATCTCTACAGGCTATCTGAAGCAGTCACCAATTCAAACCACTGCCTGAGCGCATCGCTGAGAGTTTCTGGGAGAGCATTCACATCTCGGAGGATGATGTAGAAAGGAAAGGGAAATTCTTCTATGTATGACCTTATTTCTGGTAATTCTCCTGGACCTTTGAACACAGGTACTTTAATGTCCAAGATGGAATCCTGTGAATTAAAATGGTAAGTTGATAAGTGCAGATATTGCTATACACAGGTATACTCAATACTTTCCAGATTTGTCAAAAATAAAGTGCAGAAAGGAAACCATTCTCTTATAGTAAATAATAGTCAGAAGCTATATTGAGAGGAAAACTGAGAAAGTTGAACTGGCTTTCCCTGCCTCATTCCCACCCTCCAAAAGTGTTCATTTCTAAAATTGTCATATTCTATCCATTTAGTCCACCAGTACCCAAAGTCAATAGATTTTGCTTCTGAAATAGTGGAGATTGTAGGCAAGTATTATGAGAATACTTACTATATGATGAGATGGTAAAACTAAAGGAAAGAATAATTTTAGCACTGATTTTAGGCTTGCAGTTATTCAGTTTCTAGCTTTAGTAATCCTCCATGCACTTCTCCTTAGCAAAGGAATATATCGCTAAAGCTATTCATTTGTGCATTTGTATACTACTAAATATTTTAAAAATCTCTAAACAGTTTCTCTTTTATCCTTGCATGTCTAGAGAGACACTAGCAAGGTAGGACTACTGAAGCGCGTTGGTTAGGGTTATAGAAATTTGCAGGTTCTCCAAGTCACTTCTTACAAATGTCACCAAGAAAATAGTCCGAACTGGAGTCCGATGAAGGTGCTTGCGCTCCTCATCGCTGTGGAAGGAATAGGTAGAAAGCAGTCTGGAGGAATGGACAACTAGTTTGTGGACAGGACCAGCAGCAGCACAATGACCAGGGAAAAATTCAACATTAGGCAAATTCAGGACTTTTGCCACAGGAGGATGATAAGAAACAGAAACTGCTCCAAACTGTGCTTAGGTCATTACAATATGAAACTGAGATACTTCTTAGTGCAACTACTGAAAAGGAAACATAGTAAATTTCTTTAATATAGCATGACATGGGCCTGTTGATAACCAATGGACCTTTTCCACACAGTTAAATGAAAGATTTGTTAATTTACTCACCCGTGAATTAGGGTTGTCCAACACTACAAAAATGACAAAGATATTCGCATTCTGAACAGACTGAACAGCTGCAGTGACTCGCTCCTTGCCCTCAAGGAAAAGTCCTCGTCCATCTGACACTATCAGGAGCAGCTGAGCAGTTTCTATTAAGACAGAAATATTTTCAGTTTCAACTGAAACAAAATCACTAAAAATGGTGAAAAATACATATACAGCGGTATCTCGGCTCACAAACACCTCAGTTCATGACAAAATCAGATCACAGACAGAAATTTCAGAAAATGTTTGCCTCAGTTTGCAAACTCCGCATTGAGTGACGACCACGATCGCGGCCATGTTGCCGCACGAACACGATCGTGATGACGCCTGTCTTCCCCCGCATGAGTGCGCCCACGATCACGCCTGTCTTCCCCTGCACAAGCGCACCCACAATCGCACCCATCCCCCCCCCCCCGAGCATGATCATGATCGCAGACATCCCTCTTCCCCCAGCACAATCACAAGATTATGGTTTGGACTCTCCCTCCAAACAATAATCTCTCCCTCACCACCCAGGTTAGTGTTCTCTACTGTACTGTACTTTGTTACTTTCTTGTTCTTCGTTACTTTGTTTCAAATTTTTGTGATAAAAAACAAAACAAAACAAAACTACAGAACCTTATGGGGAAATTTGACTTGGCTCGTGACCAAAATTGGCTCACGACCACATTTGTAGGGGGCAGAATGGATTAACCTTATTTACATTGCACCTTACGGGGAAATTTGACTTGGCTCGCCACCAATTCGGGTCGAGACCAGTCATGGAACAGATTAAGTTCGTAAGCCGAGGTACCACTGTATTTGTATATTATCAATTTTTTGTTTTGTATTAATATGCAAACAGCCTTCCTGAAAGGAAGTTATTAAGATATCCTGAATGGAAGATAGGCTTTGTTTTCTCAACAAGACATGAAACTTAATACAGCTATGACAATCAACATTGATGCGTGCTCTGTAAGCAATCAAATAAACAGAGCCTCAGCTATGCAGCAGTACTTTATTTACTATTTAAAAGATTTAAAATTCCAAGAAATTAAGTATCACTTAACAAATTACTTCTTAGTAATTTGTGAAAAATGCTATGCTGATTTTGTCTGGATAGCAACACTTCTGATAGAAATAATTCTATTGCCATGGCAATAAGTAAGAAAGGAAGATTCACCTGGATTGATGTTTTGAGACAATTGCTGTGCTGCAGCAAACATGCTTGTTGTGGATTCCAAGAACTTGAGAAAAGCAAAAGAATAAACTCATCAGCTATGATCCAAAAATCCTCATCCCAAATTAGTGACACTAATTCTATGAAAATGAATAGAAATATAAGCTGAGAACTGTACCATAAGCTTGAGTTTCAAAAGCATTTAAAACTATATTGCTGCCACATTATTTGCTTAATTACTTTGAATTAAGTAATTAATGCAATAAATACATATGCTACTGCTTAATGAGACTGCCTCAGATGTTAATCTGCAACCTTTCTTTGCTGACTATTTTTGTAGTTCAGCTCTTTCTTTCCCTAAGCTTCAACTCAGATGACATCAAAGAAACCAATAGAAAAAGCTTCTTAAAGCAATTCCAGCTTACCAGGGATCATGTGGGCAGTGTCTTGCTGTTTTGCATAGCTAGTAAAATTGGCCATATGCCGTTAAGATAAATTGGAGTAAGAGCAGAGGGCTTCCTAGCAAGGGCATGCAGTCAAATCAGAGGGAAGGCAATACTTCTTGCTCTCACTCTAAACAGGTTAAACTGTAACACCATTTTTAGTGCTCCTCCAGGCACATGCATGGACATGTTTATGTCATTCAACTTTGTGACTGGGTGAGGGAAAGAAAATAAGCTACTGTAGCTTATTTTCCCACTCTGCACATTCCAGTTGTTCAACGCTGCGCTATTGTTAATCACCCCTGCTGAGCATAGTTTGTTGTGTCATTCAAGCATAGGTGGTAAAGGGGGTTTGCAAAGCACCCCAGAAGACAAAGCTTGTTCTAGGCTTGCGAGGTAGTGTATACACTGTCCCTGCCCTCCACCTTTGCAGGAACAGCATTAAACTCACCCAGCAAGGGCAGTTAATGGTAATTTAGGTGCACATGTAATGTATTTTTTTTCCTGACTGTATGAATGCACCCTAACACTTTTCCATGAATTGAGTGCCTCATTTCAGCTTCTGCATAAGAGATGATTACACGGCAGAGATCTTAAAGCACCTAGTAAATCTGTTTACTATTGCATTCTAAAGGCTGCTGAATGCTGGTGCTCACTGACGATCCCCAGGTACCTCCATTACACTTGCTGGCAGCCAAAAGAGTGTTTAAATATCTCAAGTATGCTGTGATGCCATGCTTATAGTCTGCAATAGCCTGTATGGCACTTCAGTGATCTCTGTGGGAATGTACCACATCAGATGGCAAGTGGAGTGACTGCTTTGTTTGAATCAAAGTCTGTAACATTTCAAGATGTTCAAGATAAGAGCCATTTAAAGGAAAACTCAGACAACCACCTTCCTCAACATTTTAAGGCAGGTATATGCAGAATGCAAACATGGCCTTTGGAACTGTAGGCAATTTTCTCTCTTCTTTCAATCTATTACAGGTAGTACATAACAGACATTAGGGACTTTTCATGAAAAGGGCTGCATTATCCATCTAGGAAGTAATTCTGGAGAACCTGAGCAATCTTAGTTTTCTTTTGCTCAAATTTGCAGAGCTGTAGTATTCGGGTTCCTGACTGGTCACTGAATTGTTCATGGAATGGATGCAGTAACTGAACTGTCTCTCCAAAACTGAAATAAAATGAACACACATTTTAAAATGGCACCTTGTGCAGGAGTTAAATTAATTTTCATTACATAAATGTAAAGTTAGGATTTAAAATGTCCTTACCTACATACAGCAATTTGCCCCACTTCTAAGAGAGTCAAAGCATTTCCAATCACTGCCAAGGATTCATAAGCAAGCTACAGAAAACACGTTGGATCAAGTTGGAGTCCACTGTACATGTAAAGCTTAATATACAGTTTCAATTGTACAGAGAATTGTATCCTTAAAGGTGGCTGAAAAAAGCGACTTTAAATGAATTGTAACATTTGGCAGAGAAGCAATGGAACCCATTAATCTTTCATTGACATGCCATAAGAAATTAGAGCATTCAAATGATTTATGCCAGAAATGCAGTTTGCCAATTCCCTGTAAGCTTCCACCCTCCCCGCCACCCCAGTGAATTTATTCCAAGGGTGGCGGCAGGGGCAGAGATGCATGCACATCTATCGTAACTCAGTCATATGTTAAAACTATCCTCGTTGTTAGGCCTGGGTTGGACTGGAATCTGGGGTAGACCACCTGGTGGCAGACAGAAACTGACAGTCACTGGGTTTGCATAAGACGAGCCATTCGCTTGTGATTGCAATAGGATGGGGAGACAAGCTGGTCCTATTATTCCCTGGGATACCCATGAGAAGGGATCATCTGCCCTCACACTGGGGGCTGTATTCAGAACCACCAACCCACTGTCGCTTATTGCCAGGGCAGCTTAACATGAGGTGTAAACATGCCCCACTGTCAGCCAAATGGACAGAAGAGGAGGAGGAGGGAGAACTGAAATAGCATGATGGGGTGGATGCCACTGAAGAGTGAACTGCAAGACTGACAAGTCAAAGATATATTGAAGAATTCAGTGTCTAGTAAACCACTCCTGCTTTACCTGTTTAGAGTGGTTGTCCACCATACTGGCCGAATCATCAAGGGCCAAGCAAATCTGGTACTGTCGTTTGCTGGGTTTGGTCCTTCGTAACCAGATTTTATCCTTTCGAAATTGACTAGCAATATAAGGAATAACTTTGCGCATGTTCAGTCTTTTCCCTGTTCTATAGTCGCCTCTGGAGTTAAAAAAAAGTGCAAAATATTAAGAACATGGACATTGCAGTAAAAAGCGCTTGACAAAATAACGTTTATCAAGAGCATATTTTACATAAAGTGAAAGAGTATGAATGTAAAAGTTTACCAACAGCATCGATTTGTAAGGTTAAGCTTCTAAATCCACATTTCCACATCTATATAGTTGTCCTGATTTTCAGGTAATCAGAAATGAAATCATAATTCAGTCGTATGAACTGAAGTTATAATTTGAAAAAACAAGTGTTTTTTCCCACAGCTCTCCTAACACTCAGAATAATCTGTGTTAAAATGTTGAAAATGTGAGAACTGCAAAGTAGACTTGGTTTTAAAAAAATCATACAGGATCAAAGGCAGACAACTAGCCACATGACCTTCATTTGCTGTGGATACAGAGCTGTAATCAAACAACACTAAGAAAAACTGCGTCATGTACAAATTACACAAGCACAACTTGCATGTCGCTTCTTATTGGCATAACGTACTTGGTTTAGTTGTTATGCAAGGTCAAGGGCACCAAATCTCCAATCCCACCCTCAGTCATTTATCCAGAACAGAATCAATCCAGATTCATTTGGATATTTTCCCATTGACCTACAATGAGATGTGGACTGGATCAACAACAACAAGTCAAACATTTCTGGCTGTGAGGATTACTTGGCTGATTGTAAAATTATATGGCTTTTAAAAAAATCGAACACACTTCAGCTTGGCTGCCTGAGTTGGCTCCAGGATGAGTCGAAGCTGTTCACAGAGCTGCTGTGAAAGAGGTGCAGTGAGTAGATGGTATCTCTGCCACATATCTGCTGCTGCCTTTTCCTAAAATTTTGAAAAAAGACACAAGACAAGCCACAGAAGAATGTTCATTACTAAAGAGTTAAAAAAGACCTCTTAACATAAACATAAAGGAACGTAAAATTATACAGTGATAGCTTTAGGGGAAAAAGGGGGTAAAATACCCATTCTTTAATTTCCTCTGGCTTATTTTTAGTTCTTTATTCACTGTGAGAAGAATTAATGCACAGTGCTTATTCTCTTCAGTTTGACCTGGTTTGCTCTTTACAGCAGCACTGGGTTAAACTACTGTTGAGAACAAGTGGAATGTACAGAAGTTGTTTCCACTTTTAACCAATAATCCATGGTTTGTTGTTAGGACAGAACTAGGGTGTTTAGCCTCTAACTAACTCAAATTTTTTAGGTTTGCTTGTCATACACCATGTTTTGGTTTGTTTTGCATACACCACTCATTTGCACAATTCCTGGGTTAAGCAACCCATAATTTTTTACCAACTGTAGTCAGATGCAAAATAGTGGCTTAGGATAAATATATATCCAGTAGAATTAAAGAATGGGGTGTCTCTGAGTATATGCTTGAGTTCAGCTACAAAAATCCACTTCTAGTTCCCCCATCTCTAGTGTTGCATTTCAGAAACCTAATTCAGAAGGACTAGGCAAGAAAACCCATTTTAAATTACTATAGTTAGGAAAACGAGAGTTCTAAACCTCTAGAAATCTTCTGCAAATCATCCACAGATCTACTAGTAGATCCTGATCTACCCTCTGCTCAGCCTGAACAAATCATGTCATTTGGTTTTATAAGATTATAGATCTAGTGTGTTTGATGTAAACAATAGCATGGGTGGAATGAATGTTCTGCTCCCTCCTGCCTTGAAAGCCCTTTGCTAAAACTTGGGAATCATTCAGGGTGTAAGCAGGTTGCTTACCTGTAACTGATGTTCTTCGAGTGGCCGTCTGCATTCACACATATGGGTGCTGCGCCTGCGCAGTGCCTAGGCCGGAAAATTAGAAAGCTAACGGTTTTTTGGCGGGAAAACTCCGCTCCCCCCACTCAGTGGTATAAATAGGGTGGAATGTCTGCCATTTTACTCAGTCTTGAAGGCTGAACATTCGCCCCCTTGAGATTGAAGGCATATGAGAGAAAGTGTCAATGGTACCGAATATTAGAGTATGGTACTGAAGAGAAAACATCCACTCACCGACACTGAGTGGGGCCGGCGGGTTGGTTGTGTGAATGCACAGATGGCCACTCGAAGAACATCAGTTACAGGTAAGCAACCTGCTTTTCTTCGTTGTGGCCTCTGTGCATCACACATATGGGTGATTAGCAAGCTTACGAGGCTCGGAGGAGGGAGGTGTCGTCAGCGAAGAATAGATGAGAGAACCACCTTGCTAAAGGAGCAGTCTTGTCTGGAGCGGACATCCAGCCGATAATGTTTGGCGAAAGTGCGTGTTGCATGTTGCAGCCCATGTTGCCGTTCTGCAGATATCTTGAAGTGGAACCCCTGCGGCAAAGGCAGATGAAGTCGCTACTGCTCGTGTAGAATGACCTCTTGGAAACAAAGGTAAGTCTAATTTTGCTAGCTGGTATGCCAGGACGATAGTTTTGACGATTCATTTAGAGAGTCTCTGAAATGTGACTGGGGACCCTTTGTCATGCTCGGCATACTTAATGAAGAGTCTATTAGAACGACAAAAGGGTTCAGTACGAGATCTGTAAAAAGCCAAGCAACGTCGAACATTGAGAGTGTGAAGAGATCTTTCTATCGGATTTGAAGGCAATGAAAAAAATGCAGGCAAAACAATCTCTTGGCTCACGTGGAACGGTGTAGCCACCTTAGGTAGGAACGATGAGTCCATCCGAAGAATGATCTTTTCCTTATGGAAATTCAGATAACGGTGAGTCTATTCGAAGAGCACAAAGTCTGCTAGCTCTCCGAGCTGATGTGACTGCTATAAGGAAGGTCGTTTTCCAAGAAACAAGACGTAGGTCAACGGTCGCCAGAGGTTCGAATGGTGGTTTTGTAAGCGCCTGAAGTACTACGGAAAGGCTCCATGTTGGCATAGTAGGACGAATGGAAGGATGTAAATTCTGTAATCCCCTAATGAAGTGCTGAACCAGAGGTTGAGAGAAGACCGATGAGCCTTGTACAGTGCCACAATAATGTGATATGGCAGCTGCATAAACTTTAATGGATGATGGTTTAAGTCCTGAGTGGTACAGTTCCAGGAAGAATTGTAAGATGTTCTCAATCGAAGCCATCCCAGGGGGAAACGAATGGCATTCAGCAAAAGATGAGAATCTCTTCCATTTTGCCGCATAAGACCGACGGGTGGACAGTCTTAAAGCAGATTTGAAAATTGCTTGAATTTCTCGATTGAAAGCTGACGGTACCGAAGCGGCTGTTGTCCAATTCGAGGTAGAGCCATTTGTACAGTTTGTCAAACCGGATCCTCTGGTACCTGAGATGTCTTTGGTATCGAGTCAGTCGCATGGTTTAGCTGATGCACCAGGCTGTCAGTTTCAACGAGGTCAAATCTGGATGCCGGATAGCTCCGTTCTGCTGTGTTAACAAGTGAGGAATTGTTGGGAGCCGAAGGAACATTCCTCTGGATAGTCAAAGCAGAGTGGTAAACCAAGGCTGTCTCAGCCACCATGGGGTTATTAATATCCCTGTGGCGTTGTCTTGGACTATTTTCGATGCCACTCTTGTTAGAAGTGGGATTGGAGGGAACGCGTAGAAAGTCAGATTGTCCCAAGGGATCATGAGAGCATCCCCTATCGATCCCGATCCGATACCTGCTCTCGAACAATACCGATCGCATACCCTGTTGTCTCGGGTAGCGAACAAGTCCATGTCCGGATAACTCCATAAACGGAAGAGGTGTTTGCAAATTTGGCTGTCCAACTCCCATTCGTGGGTTGTTGACATCTGTGTGCCCAGCGTGTCCGCTTCTATGTTGTCGGTTCCCACCAAGTGAACCGCTAGAACTAGTATGCTTCTTGGGATACACCAGTCCCAAATTTCCATTGAAAAGCGGGCTAAGGTTGGTGACTTCGTTCCGCCGTGCTTGTTGATGTAAAAAACAGCAGCGATGTCGTCCGACGCAATCTGGACAACTTGGTGGCAAAGTACAGTCTTGAAGGATTTGAGAGCGTTGAAAATAGTCAGAAGCTCAAGGAACTTGATATGTCTCGTCGCCTCTCTCCGGTTCCAAGTCCCTTGGACGCGAAGTCCTGAGCATGCTGCACCCCATCCGAGCAGAGAAGCGTCGGTGTACAGGGTTGTTGTCGGTTGAGGTGGTCGGAATGGAACACTGATAGACAGGTTGTCTGGAACAGTCCACCAAGTCAAAGTGCGTAGGATTGACAGTGGGATCTGGATCAGCTTGGTGGGAGAATCCCGCTGTGGGCGAAATGATCTGTTGAGAAACAGCTGTATGTGTCGCAGACGCAGTCTGGCATACAGAACAATGGCAACCGCAGCAGCCATGTGTCCTAATAGTCTTTGGATGGTTATGGCTGGTACCGTTCTGTATAGCCGGATTCGATCAATATGGTCGCAGAGAGTGTCCCGACAGTTCGGAGGAAGGAAGGCTTGCTCCCAAGTAGAATCGATGTGTGCTCCAATGAAGTCGATGACCTGCGTGGGAACAAGGGATGATTTTTCGCGGTTAATGCAAAGTCCAAGATCGTCAAGTAGAGAGCAAGTCTCGTGCACAGCTAAGAGAAGGTCTTGTCTAGTCTGCGACACAATGAGCCAATCGTCCAAATACGGGTATATCTGTATGCTGAGTCCGTAACTCTGCGCACACCGGAGCCATACACTTCGTGAAAACTCTAGGGGCAGTAGCCAGGCCGAAAGGTAAAACATTGAACTCGAATATATCGGGTCCGACAGTGAAACACAGAAAGCGCCTGTGAGAATGATGGATGGAAATATGGAAGTAAGCATCCTTCAAGTCCAGTCAGGTGAACCAATCCTCTCTCCTCAGCAACGGAAAGATATTCAGTAAGGTGGTTATCTGAAACTTTTTAGGTTTGATGTACCTATTAACATTTTGCAAGTCCAGGATGGGACGAAGACCACCATTTCTTTTCGGGACCATAAAATATCTAGAATAGAATCCATGCAATCCATCAGAGTGGGAAAGCTGTCGAATCGCTCCTTTACGAAGTAGTTGGTAGACTTCGTTGCACAGTACCGAAGAACAGGGTGTAAAACGAATCAGACTTGACAGAGGGACGACATCAAATTCTATCCTATATCCGAGCTGGATGATGGATAACACCCACCTATCAGATGTAATGGACTCCCAAATGGGGAGTCAGCTTTGGAGCCGGTCCCCAAAAGGGAGAGGGGAAGGTGGAGTGTGGAGAGAGAGAATGGTCCACCCAGACTGTCAATGTTGGTGCTTCTTGGTGTTGAAATGTCGACAGCCCTGGGAGAAGTGTTGTTGTGGTTGCTGCCTTCAAAGTTGCTGTCGTTGCTGGTACTGCTGTCGGGGCTGATATTGCTGGCGGTAGGAGGATCAAGGCCATTGCCACTTACGTTTTTGCTGAGGCAGCTCCATGTGGCGTGCGGTCATGTGCGATTCATGGATTGACTTCAGCTTATGGTCGGTCTTCTGGTGGAAAAGTCCGGTGCCGTCAAATGGCATTTCCTCGATCCACCTCTTCATTTCACCTGGAAAATTACAATTTCGTAGCCATGTGTGGTGGCACAGAGAAATGGCACTGACAAGGGCCTTCGAGTCAGCATCCATGTGGTGCCTGGCAGTGGAGAGTTGCTGTATTGCCACCTGCATCGCCTCCTTTATAAAGACTCTGGCCAAGTCTGCTTGGTGGTCTGGAAGGGAGGAGTCAACATTATCCAGTTTTTGCATAATGAAATACTGGTAACGTGCCAGTGTTGCCTCATAGTTCGATATGCGCAGGCCGAGCCCAGAGGCCGCATAGCCTCAATGAGCGAGCATATCGATTATCCTCCCTTCCTTGTCACAAGGGCCTGTGTGACCCCTCGACTCCCTGCCCTGGGAGGACTTGACCACCACCAAGTTGGGCTTTGGGTGACGGAGCAGAAATGGGATGTCGTCTTCCTGGACCCGGTACATGGCCTTGTACCGACGAGACGTAGCCTGTGGTTGAGCTGGTTGGTCCCAGGGCTGGACCATAGCCTGACGAAGTGTCGTAACTACGGCTGCGGACTGCTTTCCCCTGAAGATGTTGTAAGAACGATCGGTACTGGGACCAGGGCGATGATGGGCCTCGATTTCCAGAGACCGAACGAGGCGGGAGATGAGCTCCGCAAAAGTGACATGCGGTTTGTCAGGGGATGCGGGGCCTTGGGAGGTGATAGCCACATCAGGAGACATAGAATCAACCTCCAACTCATCTGAGTCTTCACGGTAGCGATGGTGGTCGCTCGAAGATGAGGTTTCCGGAGAGGTTGGACGTCCTCTCTCCATACGCCTTGAGGTAGATGGGGCCTCTCTTGGGACCGATGGTGACTGACGATCCCAAGGGTAGAAGGCATATGGTCGGTAACCACCCCAGTCAGGATAAGCACCATATCCAGGCATTGGCCAATCCTCATCTTGGCGCTCAGATGAACAGCTTTGATGTCTGCGAGGCGATGGTGAATCAGCAGGTGGCTCAGCTGTGGGCACTGGAGTTGGAGAACATTTCCTCGGTGGGGAGTCTCTGATCTCCCCATCAGAAATGGACTCCCGAAGCGGCTCCTCCGTCTGCTGAGGGGGCGCGCTCTCAGGCCAAATATACTGCCTGGGGGATCCCGGCGGAGTCACCTGCATCACGGATTGCAGGGCTCGTCCCGAGGGAGTTGGTGTGGCAGTCGGTACCGAAAAGCCCGATGAACCTGAACCACGATGTTTGGAGTGGTCGGGTTTTTTGCCCTTGCGGGCGGGCTTGTCTGCCTTTTCCTTCCTCGGCTTCTTATGCCTAGATGGCTTGTCTGAGCCGGTATGCTTATGCTTCTCCCGCTTCTTGGCTGGGGAAGAAGGTAGCTGCTAGGCCTCCATAGAAGTGGCGCCTTTGTCTGAAGGACGCTGTGAAGGAGCAGCAGAAACCAGAGCAGGGCGCTTCGAAGGCGCACTGGCAACAGAGGCGTAGTACTGAGAGGGCGCGGCCGAGGAGGACCCAGGCCTTAAGACCAATTGGTCCGATTGCATCAAGGCCTGGTCCCTTAGGAGTTTGCGGAGACGATTCTCCCTATTCTTCCTAGCTCGCTTGGTAAATGCCAAGCAGTGGCTGCATTTGTCGGTCCTATGCCCCTCACCAAGGCAGAGGAGACATAGGTCATGCAGATCCGCGGGCGACATTTTGGAACTGCATTCAGTGCATTTGTGGAATGCCACTCACTGCGCCATCGCGAAAAAAAAAGGAGAAGATAGTGCAGAGGGTAAGATAATATATTTTTGGTTTTTGTTTTTTTTTATAGGAACGAAAGGTTTGAAGAATGAACAGGCTAAGAGAAAAAACTTGGAGTAGAAGAAGACAACAGAGACAAGATATATAAAGTGTTAAACGAACAGCGAGCACAGGGATCTAGCGAGAGACGAACAGGCACGAGGCACAGCGAACGGCAGTCGCAAAGACTGAGTAAAATGGTGGACACTCCGCCCTATTTATACCACTGAGGGGGAGGGGAGCGGAGTTTTCCTGCCAAAAACCGTTAGCTTTCTAATCTTCTGGCCTAGGCACTGCGCAGGCGCAGCACCCATATGTTTGATACACAGAGGCCACGACGAAGAACATCAGTTGTAAATGTTTTTATATCAATGCTTTTATCATTCTGGCAAGTGCTTCCATGTTTATTTTTATTATCATGTAGTACTAATTAAACAGTTGGCTATGAACATTTACAATAAGTGCCATCTACCTATTGCAGAAGATTATCATTGTCTAACAAGTAAGGACAATTATGAACACCAAATATTTAACATGACTTCAGAAACAAGGTCTTAATTTTTCATACCATAAAAATGGTCTTTAAAACCATGCTAAAAATGTAAATGCATGATAAATAATTCACCAACCTCAGCAATGTGTCCTGTCTGCCAATCTTCCAGCTGCTTCTCTAGTTCTTGTCTCAGCTGTTCAGGATTCTTAACAATGTGCTTAAATATAACAAATTGGCATCAAACAATGTGGACAAATATTTAAGAATAATAAACCTACAACTTGTCTCAAAAAGGAATTCAAATGGGAGAACAGGGCAAGTTTTGAATCACTAGATAGCAGTCAAGCAGGGAAGATCAATTTCCCTACTATAAATATTCTCTTCTCTTCCATATGTGAAAGATTACTCTGTATGTACTGTACTCCCCATTGTGCACTTACTTCCTCCCTTAATTTTATTAGGTAATAAAAAAGAACTTGCTTCCTCTTATGTTAGAGATGGAGTAGAAGTAGCCCCCATCAGTGAGGGGGATGTGCATGCAGATGCAGCCTGCTGAATTAATACTCTGGTGGATCTGCTGTGTGCATATACGGGTGGTAGAAATGAATCTCTGCAAAGAGAGAGTCTGAATCTATGCTTCCCAATGTTTAAAATAAATATTAAAGCTACATCATCACCTTGCATAGTCATGTGTGCTGGAGACATGCTTGTATGGGTTTTTTTTAAGCTTCAAGTGCTACCTTCAATTTGTGGCATATAGTATGTAATTAAGGCAAAGTAACATTTTCACACTATCTAGTACAAAGTCACTTGAATAATGCACATCAGATGCATACATCGTCCTAAAAGCATACAGTAACCAGGTGTAACTCCCCATTCCAGTCCCTAGAACCCCTCATCTTTCCTCAAGGGAGTCCAGACGTTTGATTCAGTGCAACAAAAGGGTGTAATTTGGGATAAAATCCATTCATAGCAGCAATGTGACCTCTTCAATAAATTAGCACATCCTAGTGATATAATTGGCTGCTTACCTGGACAGATGTATCCCTCAAGAACTGGTGAGCAGTATGTATAGTTGAATGCTTGTTTCTATCTGGCTTTACTTCTGATGGTGACTTGTCTGCTCTCCCTTCAATGTCATCTTCAGAACTGAGAGCTTGGCTCTCCAATTCCACTTCCGCAGTACCTAGCATTGAATAATACATTCTTGCTTAATATTGTAGTCACCCATGACTATTACTGTAAAGCTACTCTACCCTGATTTGCTTAATACATCATTAGGAACATTCGCCACCACAGCATTGCCTTGAGAAAAATCAAGAAATTATTCCTGAAAAATAAAATTTTTAAGACAGTAAGCTGACAATTTACCAGATTTGGAAGCACCAGACATCTTTACTTCTGGATTCAGTTTCTCCGTCTCTGCAGCTTTAAGCATTTCAACCGTCTCTGTGTCCATTTCCATTGCTGCATCTTCAGAAATTGGTTCTTCATTATCTTCATTAACAGGCATGCCCATTTTTTGTTGTTCTTCACTAGCTACATCTAATGAGAATATAAACAAACCAACCAAACTCTTAAAACTGTAATTTCCCCCTATATTAGCACACTAACAGTTAAGAAGTACTGAAAGCATTACTTTTAATTATACCTGAAAGTGTGTGGGTGCTGGGGGTGGGGGAACTCTGGATGGTTTGATAATGCTTAGCATTTATACAGCATTTTGAAGTGTTCAAAGAATGTTCCACATGCATTACCTTTACTTTGTGGTTGAAAAAAGTACAAGTAGGGTCACATTGATCACGTTAAGAAAGGATAGCATGACTAAATAAAGCCACCTGGTGAGTTCATAGCAAAAGCAAAAATCCAAACTAGGAACTTCCTCATTTGTAGCCCAGCCTTCCAGACACTAAATTACCATTCCAGACACTAAATTACCACTAAATGACCCATCTTAATGAGTTCATGCAGATAACCCAACTATGGTATTGGGTTGGGCTACCTGCAGCAACTTGTCTGCTTCATTCTATCAGGTGTTTCAAGAGGATTTCACTAGAAATCTGCATGTGATGTGAGGAAGAATGGGCATGGATGTACTGGGCTCAAGAGTTTCATTCCTGGCCATGAAGAAACTGCACACTTTCACTGAGGATTTTGGCACTTAACCTTTTGCTTTCAGGCCTATCCACCAATGCCCCTCCAAAATTCTGATTTGATTATTGGGCTTAAAAATATTTGACACCTCTGTTCGAGAGGAAGGGATATAACCTTTAACACAATTGGGTATGGTGATTCTGACGGAGCGCCTGTGACTTCGAAATGGGAGGGCAAGGGGGGCAATCTGCCTATCACAAGCCAGGAAAACTTGAGGGTCAACGGCTTGTACTAGAAACATAAGGTCTGCTGAGCTTGTTTGAAGGAGAGACTTTCCTACCTAAATTTGGTAAGTCTGCCAGAGGTAATATGTATGATATCCTTGGAAATATCTACCAGCACCCCCGAGTGAGTTAAAGATTGCCAAGGATTCACTGTGATTCTTTTTGACTTAAGATCTGTGGTCCTGGGAACAAGACAGCATGATCTGAAGATCTTAACAGAACTTGGTTAGTGATGAAGACCTCACTGGACGGTCTACTAGGTAAGAACAGATGTGAAATGGCCTTGGGTCAGCGGTAAACTATCACTAGTAGCATGAGCTTGGAGAAAAATCTGGGTGCCAGTACCAGACCGAAGGGTCTTGTATTGGTAGTGGTAACTCATGTAAGGAAAGAGAAAAAATCTCCTGAGCTGCACAGCTATTCAAACATGTAGGCAGGCCTCTGTGAGGTCTGTTGAGGATGAGAAATACCCTTCTGTAGAGCTTCCTTGATGGTCTCAAAGTGGGGTAGGGGTGGGACAGGTTCTATGGCCTCTCTCACTTAGAGATGATCAAGTGCTGTGGACAAGGCTGAAAGGAGGGAAAGCAAAAAACGTGCTTCTGGGGGTGAAGTGAAACTCCAGAAAACACCTGTGATGAGCAGTGTTTACAGCTGTCTGTTTCCATGTGTGAAGGTGTTACAGCCTTCTACCCTTGAAGGACAAGAAGTCAGAACTGTAGGTGAGGCATCTTGGAGGATCAGGGGGACCTATTTTGTCTTAAATGGAAGATTGAAACTGTTTTATGACCAGGCAGGCCTTGAAAACTTATAGATACAGGTCACTATTCAATCCTTTTCTTCTTCTATCTATAAGTTTTCAAAGCCTTCCTGGTCATAAAGCATGGGCTTTTCATCTTCCTTAGAAAAAAGCAAAGCCTTCTTTTTGTCTTTAGTTTCCAGTAAGATATTCTTAAAACCCTCTTCTCCAAAAAGATGGGATCCTGCAAAGGGAACAGTGGCCACGTTTCCTTTGGAATAAGCATTCTTTGTTGCGATGTTTAAACCAGAGTGAACACATTGCCAGTGCAGCTGCAGCAATGGAATGTGCTGCTTATTTCCCAGTGTAGCAGGTAAGATATGGGTGTAGGTCCTATATAATTCTAACAGACTCCTAAGCAGGGTAGAAGTGTCCAACTCCTTATTGTTAATATTATCCTCTATACGAGAAGGGTAGCCCTAGAAAAAAAAAGGATGCTGTGGAGGAAACCATAAGCATCCAGGCAGTAGCCTCAGGAGCTTTAATGCTGCTTTAATCAGATTCTTTAAGAATCTTTAATTAGATTCTTTAAGTGAATTTCAATTATTGCAAAACTGAAAATATGGTGCTAGAAAAGATTTAAAATAATTTATGTTGTAAATGCTGCCATACCATACGACTGAGCATCATAGGATTCACTGCCTTGCTTAATGTGCTCAAAAGCATCTGCTTCTCCCACATTTTGTTCAGGCTCAACAGGCGTCTGCTCTGCTTCACTGCTGGACTCCAAAGTCCTCAAACGCTTGTGAACATATTGATTGTGATCTCCCATCAGGCGCTCATTGTCAGCTTGTCCAGGTTTTCTTTTCAAACTCTGAAAAAAGAGGTCGGTGCAGACATGCATTTTCAGCAAGGTGCAGCAAAACTGAACTCAGATCCAGAACCTCTGTTAGCATATCATATTGCCATTATTCAGAGAAGGAAATATGCACAAAGAAAGGGTTCCACTAACAATGAAAAAAGATATGCACAGGCTGGATGTGAATCTAAGATCTGCTTGATGCACATATGTAACTCCAGGTGTGCATCAAGCTGAGTGTTGCACAAGTGGTGTCCCATGTGCAACCCTTAAGAGAACAGCTTCCTCAAGACCGTATCTTAACATACATTCTGCTTTAGACCAGTGGTGTGATTCAGCCATTTAGACCAGTACTGTTTATTCTCACAGTGGCTTTCCAGCTCTGTCTACCAGAAAGCCTTTCAGCTTTGGAACACCTTTACGTGTTTTACCTGTGATGTACCACCTATTCCAACTCATAACCTCTGAATCCTTCTCAAGGGCTCAAAGCTGTTCCCAAAGTGGGGAAGGAAGAATGAATGCTGGACTCAGGCTGGGTAACATGCGATTGATTGGTAGAGACTGACAGGCTGGGTCACTTTTGTCTGTGTTCACTCATATTCAATCTGCATTTTTTAAAATCTTCATTGAAATGTGCATTTGTATACCTCTTGGTATTTAAATACACTGTCTATTGAAAGTGCTCATTTTAAAAAGCATTTTAATGCTTTATTCAGCTGAGGGCTGCTGGAACTTTCAGGAAATAGGAAAACCTGTGGGGCACCAAGTTCCAAGCCACACATTAGTGGCTTGATAATTGATTTAATTATACAAAGGTTTAAATAAGAATGAAGAACCTGTGTATTTTTTCCACTTTGTTTCTGAGAAGTCAAGCGTGCCACTGACTTGGATTCATGCCCTTCTGACTGATTTGCATCAGCAGCTCCACTTCCATGCTCCTGAAAAAGAGATGTGGAGAATAGAATGACTGCTACTAAAATGTACAATCATTTCTAGGCTTAAACTGGATTGATGAAGTATCTGTGGAAGACAAAATATGCTAGTTTTCAGTTCTGGGAACAACCTGCGTCGCTTCTGATGCAGTGCAGAAAATGTCAAGGCTAATTAGTAAAATACATGCCCAATATGGTTTGTACCACAGGGTTGGGTAATTCTCTGCTGAAACTACAGGGAGATTCCTTAATCTCATTTTAAAATCACATTTACAAGTCAAACATGATCTGGTATCTGTATAGTTTTTCAGCCTTCAGGGCCTCTGTATCGCTTGTCTTGCTGGAAAAATGGATTAGCTTAATTCACCTACTCTATGTAGGTAACTTGTTGACATGACTAAAGTGGATTAAGAGCCTATTACAGAGAAATAGAATAAGAAACCTGAGCATCCCATCTGACAAAGACAATGGAATATTGTCTTTGAGCTTGTACATTGTTTCCTTGAATAGGAATTATTGTTTTGCATTTAACTTCTTAGCTGTACACGTTTTATAAATACTTAACTTAAGCTATAATCTATATTTGATCTGCCTTCAAATGTTAAATACCTTGTACCTACTTTTCCTTGCTCCTTCCCCTCCACCATGGTTAGAAAATATGGTGTTCAAGTCTAACTGAAAAACCAGTGTGACACTATAAATCAATAGAAGATTTGGGACCAACATACACAAATTCTCTTGAAACAACATGCACACTTTTCTATTTACTGGGTATACTTTCTCCTTCCAGACTATACAATGCTAATGAATAGAGTATCACATGATTTGCTCTTTCCTGGTATGAGATAATAATTTAGTGAACCACTAGAAGTTCAGCCTACAATTTATTGTTTCAATTATTTTTTACCCTTCTGTTTAGCTGAAAAAGCTCCCAGTATGGCTTACCAATCAATAAAGATCACTCTTGCCCTCATGCTCACAAGGTAAAAGGCATGACACAAAAGTGAAAACACATGAGGAGGGAAAAGGAAGAAACAAGCAAGTTCAGGTGCTAATTCTTGAAGTTGTTTCAATTACCTCCTGGGATAGAACCAGTTCAGGCAGGTGGGTCAAATGCCTCCAAGGTGGTGATAGTTCAGGGAGAGTTACAGCGAAAGACAGCTGTCTCTGAGGAGACAAGATGGAATAGACACCTTCCTTTCCCTCCCTCTGCTGCTGGCTGATGCATGTTCATAACGAACCATTCAGACAGAAGGTGTACCATAATCGCAGTGCAATCAGGCAGCAGAAAGCAGTGGCTGCCATGTACATGATAGTCATACAGACTGCTCCTAACCCCCACCTAAGCACAGAGAATCAGTCTGTTGCTTGGGTAGTCAATTTACAGAGTTATTGAAAAGTAGAGCAGATTGAATAAACAAGGGGAAAGAGAGGGATTCCAAAGGAAACCCTAAAGGTTAAGTGCTTCCAATGTTCTGAATTGTTCATTTTGCACACTGCAAAGATATGTTCCATTTCACCTCTTTTGCCTGGTCCTTCTCAGAAGCAGTTCCAGCCAGTTCTACAGCAGTGTCACTTTGCAGGTTCTCATCTCCTGCTTGTCCACATGTTTCATGTTCCATTCTTTCAACCGCATGAGGTAACTGCTCGTCTTCATTGGGATTATTGATGTCCTCGTTTTCCTGAAGCTATGAACAGCAGCCAGCAATTAATAGAGTCTTAAGATTACATAATAGTAGGAGGGCTGTGGAAGGTAAGCTTGGGACTATCTTCCACCAAAGGGGGATTTGCTGTAAACATGGAGGGAGTCAGGGCCATGCCATACACACTCTGAGCCACCTTCTCCACTCCCAACTTCAGTGTGTTGACGACAGCAAAGGGCACCGTAACTGTGTACAGATAAAGGCAGTTGCCAAATCCACACTATGAGGAACCCCATTAGGACAGGATTCCTGATCTTGTAAGTGCAGCAAGGCTAGGGCCAGAGTGTACATCCATGCTAACAGTAAAGTCCTCTTCAGAGAATGCCTAAAAAAGCTAATCTTTATCTGGTGGCTGAACAATCAGGGTATTACCACCACCATGTACTGAAATGTTAGCCTTAAAGTGTATGCATTATTTATATTTCTCTTTGTGGAAAATACAGATCATATAAAGGACATAACACAACCTCTATTAATATAAAAAAAATTAAACCTGAGGATTAAGGCCTTGGTCATCAGCAGGGATGCCTCTTTCTCTCTCTTCAAGAGGTTCTTTTTGGTCTTCTGTTGGGGATTCTTCTTTTTCTTCTGTACCTGCATCAGGGTGCTCTGAGCTTCCTTCTTCCTTTGTTTCTTCTTCCATTTTTTCATCTCCTTCATCTTCGGGAGATTCTTTTTCAACTTGTTCAGAATCCTGACCTTCTTCACCTGTATCTTCAGAGTCCTTCTCCTTCATCTCCTTTTCATCTATGTCCATGGTCTTTTCTTCAATCTCAAAAGGATTTTCTCCTAATGTGAAAGAAAACATGCATTTGTAAAAGAAATTTGCTGAGGAAGTAGGAAGTGAAAGAAGTATTAACATGCCTTAATACTGCTTAAGATGAAAGAGAAGACACAGTCCTTTGCACTTTAAAAGTGTGACTTTATTTTGTTCACTTTAATCTGTTTTGTCTATGTTAGTAAAAGAATACAGAACAAAAGAGAAACTATGTAATGTATATGTTGGGATATTTTTTTTAGAAGTGTGACTCACAGTGACTGATGCTAAATGGCTAATATGGGAACATAGCTCACTATTATGCTTTTTTAAAGCCCAAGCATGTGTCTGTAATTAATCAGTGACACAATGTACTGCACTTTGCCACTCCTATCCTTTCCATCTCTTTTGAAGACAGTAGAAGTTGCATGACTACATAAAAAAAGATCCCAGTGTTGTCAACGAAGTCCAGGGTGTGAGCAATGGACCAGAAGAAAGTACAAAGAAATAGGTTAACTACACAACAGGGCAGGTAGTATGGAGTTAGTAGGTATCTGAGACCTGAGCTTTTCAGAGCTATGATCAAGTACCTGAACGCATGACAGAAAGGTAAAAACAATGCAATACCCTCAGGAGGTGGGACAAGAGCTGGTAGCAGCTGACAATTATCACAGGCTACCTTCTTAAAGGCTGCACTGTTATAGTCAAATCTTGAATTTATTAAGGCAAACATACCAAGTCTACATTTGAATGAAAAGGCAGCAAGCTTCTTACCACAGAAAATTGGCTGAAAGCCTTCCCGAATGTTAACACAATCCAGAAATAGCAATGACTTCATGAACACTGAACAGCTATAGGCATGAACAATCAGAAAGGGCTCAACTCAAATGACAAGTCCTGATTTCCCCCAAGTCACCAAGACTACCAGTCACCAAAGCTGTTGGATTCAGCCCACTCCCCTGCTAGAAAATAATGGCTAGACACTGAATAGGCAATGCGAATACAGCATATTTTGTACTACGTGTGTCTGCTGAGAAAGAAATCTTTTGTTAGTTGTACCTTCTTCTTCCTTGTCTTCATCATCTTTCTGTCCATTTTCTAGGTTCAGGTCCTCAGGAAGTTCAAACGCTTCAGCTTCAGGCTGTTTCTCTTGTTTTCCATGATACGGATCCACCTCATTCTCATCATATTCATTCTGTAAAAACAGAAGGAATGACACATCTCGAGAGGAATGGATGTTGGAATTAGTGGATAACAGACTGTTCAGAGGTACAGTATCCTGGAAATTATTATTTAGTACAGTTCAAACCGAAAGGATCCTGGACTGCACTAAGAAAGCCTGTTTCACTTTGAGAGACAGTAAACGGCTATATTTACCTTAGAAAAACAGAACCTTGAGCTTTTCACATCTATCACCAAGTCATTGTTTTCAAAGAGCTAGTAATATTGTTGATTTTGATCATTGATTTTGATCATTAAACTGAGAAAAAACTATGGTCTTTACAAATCATATCTAGTTTTATAAATGTAACCAAAACAATGAAGATGGAGGGGTGAATCTTGGATCTCCATTGTATTTGAGAGCCACAGATCATTTCCTTCCTCAAGGTCCAGTAGAAACAAGAGGATTTGGTGTCAAATTAGGGAAATACAAGGACAGATGAGTGTGTATTTCTGACATGGATATAACATGACCATTGCAAAATTTAGTACTATACTGAATCTTTCCCTCCCTCCCTCTCTCTCACACACACAATTTGATGAGATTCTAAGAACTTGTCTTTGGGATTTCAGTTACTATCCTCTGTTGGTTACTGTTTCCTCTTCTGATTCTCCACACACCTTACAAATCCTGGTTAACTTAAAAAAAACCACAGTTTCAACTGGATAGGCATGGATAGCTCTAGAATACACACACAGCTGTTCTCTCCTATAACTTCTGCAAAATGCAGCCGCAACAGATCCAGGCTATGTGAATACAATTGTGCTTCCAGGGTATGTTCTGTTCATTTATAGTTGTATCTGCTCTTTTTTCCTGCAAGGAACCCAAAGCAGTTTACATAGGCCTCCTCTTCCTTTTATTTTCACAACAATCCTTGAGGTAGCTGAGGCTGACAGTTACTGACTGGCCCAGAAATACCCAAGTTAGCTTCAAAGCCAGTGAGGACTAGAACCGCAAGTTCTAGTTCAACACTAACCACTACATATAGTTTACTGCATGAACTGATTTCTTATTACCTCATCTATTTGTTCATGGATTTTCTCTTTCGTTTTTTCATCATCTGCTTGCTTCTGTTTTTCTTCATCTTTGGATGGTTTCTTATTTTCATTGTCAACATCCATATTATCATCTTTTGCGACAAGTTCTGAATCACCCTATATGTTTCAGGAAAATAAATACTCACAAAATCATTTAAATGTACATAGTACCACCAATAATCTGTATACTGTTCTGAAGTCAACATCTTTTGATACAAATGGCTGCTTTATCCTGACACCTGGATATTGTACTCAAGACAGTTCAACCGAACACAAACACTTTATCTAGCTCAATACCGCCTTCAACAAATTGGTATGTTGTTGATGATATACATGTGACTTTAATCTGTATGCATGGGAGATCTGAAGGCCCAGAAACACACCTGACTGAAAAAATCAATTTTTTGACAAAGACTTATCCCACTCCCCAAATTGAACAATTCTGGATTGTGAGATCTGTTTTTAATATCAGCAAAGAGATGCACTTGACACAATCCTTTTATTTTACTTTAAACTGTATTTATATATCTAACTTCTGCTTAATTAATTTATTGATATCGTAAGGACCTGCAATATGACAACCCGCCACAGCATGACTTGTATGTTGAGCAACCATGATGTGCCCAACAGACAACTGGCTCACTGTGGGTTGTCCTCATTCTTTCCTGTTTGGTTCTTCCCCTGGTATCCCAGGGAACTTGGTAGCTGAAGCTGTCTTCTCTCCTTATCCCACTACAAGGGTGACCCCTTTTCAGCCACTGCCACTTCTCCCCCTTTCTCTTTCAGAGTTTTTGTGCTTCAGTCTGGAGACCAAATTTACCAATTGTTACTGGTTGGCCTGCCTTTTTAAAATGTGCACAACTATTTTAGTGATTTTGAAGTCTAGAGATCAGTGTTTCAGAGGTGCACAATGCCTCATTTCATCTCTCTTATGCTTCCAATGGGACACAAAGACATTCTTAACCTGACATCCCTTTAGCAACCAAGCTGATCTGCTGCTGAAGTGATGGGTGCTGTTATTTGTCTTTTATTTTATTCATCTTTTATTGCATTTTAATGGGCAAGACTTAATTAAGACTGTTATTTTTTCTATATTTTATTGCTGGCTATCTTGAATACTATTTGTAGTGGAAAGACAGTCTTTAAGTGTCATGAACAACCAACCAACCAGCGTTTACAATGGCAATGTCTCAAACATTTACTAGTAACTCTTTACTGTTCAAATGTTGTTAATTTTAGAGCCTGTGAAGGGCTCCTACCATGTAATACACACTTCCAGCCCTAAGCCACTGCCTGGAGAACTGGCACCTCAAGATACAGCCGCTGCCACTTGTCAGCTCTAAAATGTTAATAATTTTCCGTATGGACATACATACGGTTGTCCACTCCAACCAACCAAAGCAAATGGCAGGTATTAAGGGACCTTTATATTCTGCTTCCCTTAAAAGGAGTTCAACTTAGTTATTAAATCCAAGTTTAATATTAAAGATGAAATCCACTAAAATAATAAAAATGTATCATATTTAAAGCCATCTCAATTTCATATTACACTTTATGCCAGTATTGAAGTAGAAAAACATAATCAAGTTTAAATCACATAGGATACTATAAATACTCCTATAAAAATAGACATCAAGTTACAGGGTCTCTACATACTAAAATAAATCCCATCAGGACAAAAGGCACTCTGTGGTTTCTAACAAAGTTATACCATTTCTTAATTCTACACTGAGTGAAATGAAAAACCTGATAAAGTACAAGGTATAAGATGAATATCTTCGATTTTTGCTGTTCTGCTGTTTTTATGACCTTGTGATTTTGTACTTTTTAACTGATGTTAATATGATGTCACACTATTAGCTACTTTGGAAATCCAATACAAATTGAAAAAGTGAATTATATGTGCAAACAGAGTGAGTGAGTGGAGGGTAGGCTCCAAATATTGATTCCTCCCACCATTTTCCTTGATCCTTTTGCCAGAGCCTTCCATTTATATGCCTGAAGCTATGAAATCGTTTTGTCAAGGGCAGCATTTGATTTATGCATTTTATCTATGGATTATTCCTGACAAAAGTGTACATTCACTTATGTTATTACCTCATCCATTCCTGGCCCAGTTTCTGTTATATTATCCTCATTATCACTTTCCTCTTCCTCTTCCTCGTCATCTTCATTATCCCCCCAAAGCCGCTCGTCTAATTTGTCAGCTTCAGCATCTCCAAGATTTCCCATTTGTTTATCTAATTCTTCATCTTCGTCAGACTGTTCACCATCTTCTATATAATGTAACACAGTTCAATGCATAAGAGACAGATGGACCAAGGCAAACCTTCAAAAGTCTTTCAGTTAATGATATAATCCCTCCCTCCGCCCACCACTACCCAGAAAAACATGACTCATGCCCAGTGGGGAAAAGCTGCAGGTTAGAGGGAGAAACTCTGCTTGACATGCATGAGATGTGCTAATCACCTGGCAAGTCACTGCTTCACTGTGGCTTCTAAGCCAACTTACTCCTGATATGCTTCACATCAGGGCACACTGCAGGTAGGATGCACCTGGTCTCTCCTTCCTCTCCCATGTCTTCTTCAGGTATCCCATAAGACAGTGCAGGAGCATCAAGGTTTTCCCCATCTCCACTTGTCAGCAGGGAGGAAACAGGAATCACTGACAGCGCTCACTTAACCTCATGAGCAGACCTGACAAGCCACAGTGAGGACTGTCAGCCATCCTCTCTCAACTCATCCCAGAGGAAAGGAACGAAGCATGGTGCGTGGCTCCTCTGGTGCAATACTGCTGCTGCTCAGGGGGGAAAGTGCCCCCAGACCTGCTTGGCAGGAACGGAGGGTGTTTGCAGGTTTGTACAACATGAGATGGCCACATGGATTATAAACCGGGGGTGGGGGGAGCTCCTATGTTGTGTGAACTTAGTCAATATAAAGTTTCATATACTCAAGGGTACACGGACACTATGGTTAAAGTTTTTTCTCGTATGGGATCCTCAGAATTGGGGTGAGAGCTTAGAACTGTTAGGTAGTCTATTCCTAGCAGGTGACTCTAATAATTATCAGTTAATTACACTTAGATGAACACTGCAAGAAGAGGTGAAACATTACATTTTCATGCTTCTCTCTCCTGTGGAATTCCATTAGTATATTAAAATCAATACCCATAATAATAAAAATAGGCAAGTGGAATTTTGCCACTGTGATTAGAAATATTGCAATTCAAAATATTCCAAATAGGCAACTTAAAGTATTACTTTACTACATCTCCAGTTAAATTAATACTTCTTAGAAAGGAACAGCGTTTTTATCTTTATAGTATGGCAGTTTGCCTGAATTTTGACACAGATCATCATGAAATTGCTTGAGTCTCATTCTATATTAATTGTATGCTTCTAGTTCCATTGCTCATCAATGTTTGAAGAAAAAACAAACAAGGAAATATCCAGGTTTCCAATACACACAACCTATAGTACACTAACATGGTTACATGGGAACAGGATTCAGTTCAAAGAGGGGAGGAATGACTACAGTCTGTTCATAGTTATTACTGGTGTGATCGAATACTTGAGTTGTTAAAACCAGCAACACATGACACATACCTTGCTTTTCTTTCTCATCATCATATGTTTTTCCTTCAAAATCCTCTGTCATTTCAATTGCATTGTCTTCTCCTTCAACATCTGGTTTGGATTCAGGGTCTTCATTCTCCTTCTCTTGACCCTTTTGGTAAGTATCTTCTACCTGGAATATTTAACTAACTATTATTCTCTCTTAAAAAAGAAGTTGCAGCACCAGCTACTTTTTTTTTCTCCAGGAAAAATTAATTCTACCCCACTACCCTACAATTTCAGCAAAGTAATTTTAATACTGAATTACATTATAGCTTCTGAGCCTTTTTCCATAATCAGAAGGGAATATTACAAGGATATTCCGTGTGTGTGTGTGTGTGTGTGTGTGAGAAAATCAAACAGATTTTCATGATTCGCTCCCCATCCGTGGATTCAATTTGTTAGCTGTGTGCAGGCGCCAACTCACAGTGGTGCAGGTCAAGACAGCTCACAGACTTCCCTTTGCAAGATGGACTGTGATGTGCATTTTTTTTTTACTGCTGATGAAATTTGTGCAACTAAGCACCCCAAAACTGTATGGCTCTTGCATGGTTTGTGCATAATCACTTAGTACAAATCCTGCTAGAACTTCAGGTGTTTATCTGTGCAAATTTAGTTAGCAACTAAAAGTTCTGTGCAAACTGCAGTCTGGCATTGAGATGGAAGTCCTCCAAACCAAACCAAACCAAACCAAACCAAACCAAACCCCACACCACACAACTTGGCCTTCTGATCCTTGGTTCAGGCAGGAACCCCATCAAGCTAAAAGGAACCAGGTTTCTCTCCTTTGGTGCATCCCTACTCATGGGCACCTGGAAATTTGAGAAACTGCTGTGGGCACCACCACAAAATCCTTAGTCTGCAGACTGCTAATTTGGCATCTACCAGTCTTATCTATGAATGCTGGCTGTGCTTTATTCGGTGCCTACAGGATACTGCAACATCTCTTTAATAAGGGTCTGTTTAATTCAATTAATTCCTGATGATGCAATATAGTTATAAAGCTTCTTTTAAACACATGTTTTGTCAATGTTCAACAGCTGTTTCCTTTTGGGAACAGGTTATCACACAAGCAAGTCTTTGACTGTAGTACTGTCTGTAAAATTCAGTGGCACACATGGGCCTTTAAACAATTCACCTGCTTCATGGAAATTAACAAATGGAGGGGAGAATGGCTCCTCTGTGCCCTTTTGGCAACTAAAGATTATCTGAATGTCTTGTCTTGTTTGTACCTACCAGGCCCTAAGATCCTTCTTTGCGGTCCTTCTCAACCCCCTCCCCCCACTAGGGAAGGGGGGTGATGACCAGGAGAAGTGCCTTCTCGGCTGTGGTACCCCATATTTGGAATACGCTCCCTGGAGAGGTTTGCCTGGTACTTACCCTTGTTTTCTTTCTGTACAAGGTGAAAACCTTTTTATTTTCCAGGCAATTTAATAGTTAAGTTTGTAGTTTTAATATGGTTTTATGAGTCGGTGCTGCTGTAATGATGGGTCAATTTGATCAGTTGTCTTAGAATTGTTTTTATTACTGTTTATTGGTTTTTGTTTTATTGTGATATAGATACTTTTGTTTTTGTTTACATGTTTTAACTTTGTAATGCACCCAGAGATCCTTTTTGGCTACTGGGTGGCATAAAAGTTAAATGAATGAATGAATGAATGACCCATACTATTAAATTGGAAAGATAAAAAAAACTTTAACCCTTGTAATGCAATCTACTTACACCGTGTTTGATATATGAATGGGTGGCATAGAGACACCAACTTCAAATGGATACTTAGCAAAATATTTGCTTTACTTTTGTTAAAGTTTTCGTGCAGTTGTAGAAAGTTGCATGTATTTAACAAATAGGAAAATAAAACAAATGCATTTTGAGTGTTTGTGAGTTCCATGCTGGCGTGCCATAAAGGTGTCTACAGGTGCTAAATTCAGGAACCTTGGCAAAACTAGGTGGACAGGGGCAAGGCAAGTAACCACAAAGCCTATGAAAGTATCATATAAAAAAGAATGGCATTAATTCACCAAAATGCACGCTCTTTTCATGAATTCTAAAACCCTCTAGTATGCTTACACCATTATTATCTATGAACATAAACTTCAAGCAAGGCCTAAACCCTCGCTGCTCTGGAGTCATTGTTCCACTTCGACATACCTGATCTTCATTTTCTATTTTGTCACTGACATCCTTTTTGCCTTCTCCTTCTCCAAGACCACCACCTTCATAATCATGGAATTCTGTTCCTCCCTCTCCAGCAGCCTCCTCCATTAGCTCTTTTGGTAAACAAAAACCCTAATGATGACAGTAATTATGATAATGATCATGATGCAAGAATAGTAACTGAGACAGTATTTAACACTACTTTCCAATTTATCCTCTCATACCAAACAGAAAAGAAATGCCTCCATAGGATTATATTGTTATTTCCATACCGCAATTTAGTTATTGTAACTAAACCAATTGTCATGTAGTTAAGAGTACAGTTTTATTTTTCCAGATAAACCCCTAGTTTGCAAATGGCATAAAAGATAACCTTATTCTCTTCTAAAATTGCACGGTTCTATAACCTAATAACTTTGGAGATCTGTTCTTGTAGAACTTATTTTTTTATTGTTTTGGAAGGAATGGGATGCCCTCCAGTATGTGAATGTCATTGCCATAATCTATATCTATTAACTGAGTAACATTTGAACTTTGAAACTATCAAATTGTTTGGTTATGCATTTTATCAATTTTCTGAACTTCATTTCTCAGGTCTCATTTGCTACCTGAGCTGCACATTGTGTTGGAGTTTGGTTTTTGAGCATGGGATAATCTGAGTTTTTGGAACTTTACTATTATCATTTTTCTTGTAAGACAAAGCTCCTGCAGTTGTAGTTGTGTTTTTGGGCATAAAGCAGCTACATCTTACTGGCTTGGTATACAGAAATTTATATTAGTTAAGCTAGTACAAGTAACACATTTGGTTGTGCATAGGTAGTTGAAAATGCTAGACTTACAAGACAAACAAAATTCATGTTAAAATGCATGAGATTACGTAGGTAATTTCTGCTGGACCCTTTTAAATAGGTTTATTGAAAATGTTAAATGCTTGAGAATTCAATTCTTTCCGAAATCCACTAAAAATGAAATTGAAGGTCTTACCTTCTGGGCAAGCTCAGTAAATATGTTAGTTAGAACAGAAAGCAGTTTCCCAGTGCTCCTGTGCGTGGCCAAGGAAAGAGTGAGATAGAAGAGGATGACATTGGAATACTTGTACAGTATTGGCATCAGTCGCACCAATAAGTGGCAGGATTGATTGAAAAGCTGTAGACATAAAAGAAAGCCAACATACAGAAAAATATGACTTTTTTGGCAGGACAAAGCAAAGCACTTTTAAGCAACCATGCAATCTTCCTCCCAGGTATAGGTCTGGATTGCTGTTTGATTGTTCAGAAGCACAAATTCAACAAAAATAATTGTTTCTTTTTATTTTCCATTGAAGGAAAACATGCCACTGAGAGGTACAACATGCAGAGAAAGTCTGCAAAGCTTTGCTCATAGTCCCCTTCCCATAACCCTTTAAGAACAGAAAAAGTTTTTCAACTCATGTTGAATTTTACCTTGCACTTGTATGCAGTATAATCCTCCCCATAGGATTTTAGCCGCTCCAGGAGTTCTGAAACAACTGAAATTATTTTCTGTACATGTAAAGAATTCACATCTGAACAGATGTCCTCATCCAAGTGTTTAGTTAAATGGCCTGCTTTGAGCTTGTTAACCGAGGAGTCTTCCCCTTGAATAGTAAGAAGGGGAAAAAATACCAAACACATGTTTTAACAGGTTTCTCAGATAAGCCACAAACCCACTGATTCTTACTTGGAAGTTTATCACACTTCATAGTGTTCAAAACAAGACTGGTTAGTATGTCTGGAAGAATACTGAATGCTTAAAATTTGGATAAACTTCAGACTCACCATCCTCCTTCGAAGAGGTATCCCTTTCCTCTTTTTCCTTTCTTCTTTCTACTAAACACTGTATAGCACTCAAAATAGCTTGAATTGCAACTTCTATTTGTTCCGAGAAGAGTTCTACAAACCCATCATCTGATTTTTGTTCTTCTGTGGAAATACATCAGACATTTTAGCTGGAACATACTGATTTCTAGAGCAGACAAGAAATGCTGCCACATACTGTGGAAGCACCTCCCATGCGTGCAAGGCACAGGAAGGGGAGGGGCTCCCGCCAAAAATAATGCATAGCTTTGTAGGAAACAGAGCAGGAACATGATCACTTGCTTCTGATGTGTGTGTGTGGGGGGGGGGGCAGCAGTCCAGCTGCAAATCAAGCTCTGGTGTCCCCTGGTAAGCAATAAAATCAAGGGACAACTCCAGAGATTGATCTGTCCCTGACAAGAAGGATGGTGGAGGAGAACATAAACCACTTCCAGGCTGAAAAGGCAATGCTCAGGTGCCAAAGAGCAGCAAGAACATTTAAGCAGCTTAGGAACTAAGCACCTTTTTCCTAATTAGACTATCACTTATCTTGCATGAGTTGTTGTTATTGATAATAACATCAGCAATAATATTGGCAGATGCACACCTGGGCACCGAACCTGCAAACCATCTGCTTCAAAACAGTGCATGGGAGAAGACGCGTTGGCCTTAGGAAAAATATGGGAGATGTTTCCTAACCCATCTGCTCAGATAGGTTGTCTTCTGCTAAAAAAGATCTTGCTTCCTACTGGACAGGACAAAGAGCAGCCCGGTGTCTGGACTACTGGTAGAGCAAGACAGAAAGAAATGACTAAGAATATAAGAAAATTATGACTTGAATTTACTGCAAGCATGAAAATATCCGCAGGCAACAAGAAAATAGTATCCCAATGAACACACCCACTCTTTTGTTCATTAGAAAAGTATTGTCTTTACCATCACAGTGAGAAATGGAACTGAACAGTTGTGTTCTCCAGATTGCGAAATCATCTACACTTTTATTAATTTCGCCTTGAATGTATATGAGACTTCTGATTAATGCCATCTGTGATGCAGTCTGACTGACTTCCAATTTAGGTGGAACAAACAAGGCCTCTATATCCTGCAGTTGGGTTGAAACTTTCAGCAAGCATTCTATTCCTGAGGAGCACACTTCAAAGCTTTTCCTGGAAAGCAACAGAGAGTATGCTTCATTTAAAGAACTGCATCTTAACCCGGGTATGTATTTGTAATAAAAATTTCTTCACCACAACCTTGTTAATTTTCAAAAGTAGTTATCCAAATACAGAGACAAAGAAAAAAATTGAAGTAAATTACATTAAGTCTAAATCCCAGTTCAAACCCAGGGGACAAAAATTCTAGAGCTCCTGATATGAACATAAACTGGAGTATGTGAACCAGGCCCAAGTTCAGGTAGATAGGACATTTGACAGACGATAGTACTTTTCACTTTTCAGGTGAAAATATAGGTGGCTGCAGAAAGATGTCTTCAGAGTTTTCAAACTAACAAATTACATTTATGGTGCTATTCCGTGCATGTTTACTCAGAAGTAAATCCTATTTCAATGGAACTTCTGGGTAAAGATGTACAGGGATGAAGACTTTAGCCCTTGTTTTCTATAATCTGAGGAAGAGTGCTAACAGATGCTCTTGTCTATGTCTATGATTTGTATATGAAATAAAACCATGCCATGTTTGGAAAAACATATATTTTAACTTTGCTGTTAACAGATATGACTTGACAATTTTTTGGCACATTCACCACAGCTCCATGTTCCAAAATGTCAGTGTTAGAATTTACTGCTGTTAGCAAATACAGAATTGATTTGTAGATTGTGTTTGTCTTCCTTGACTGAGTCATCCATCACTTATTCAATACATTTTGCTCTACCAATAACCTAGTATCATCTTCCCATATTATTTTATAGCATAGAAGTTCCCTATGCTATAGGGCGGCATAGAAGTTCCCTAAATAAATAAATATAAAAAGGAATTATCTAGCTATTTCAAGTTGCGTATTTCCCAACCCCTTCAAATTAAAGATGTTCAGTTAGTTGTGAATATTTCCCAGTTGATTCCATACTTACCAGCAACTTGTTCCAAAAACTCCCTCTAAATACAATACTATGAAGCTCAGTTGATTTCTTTTATAATTATTAACAAATACTTGTCTCTTCCAATCACCATCCATCTAGGCACTTTTAGTATTTTTGATTTATTAGAAAGAGTGTGTAAGCACATGCATGTGTGTAAAAATTCACCTTTCTCATGAGAGTGTTTTGAATCTGTTCTTATCAGAAGTTTTTAGAGAAAAAAATGAATTTTAGCGATGCAAATTAGTAACTGCTAGGGTGTATTTTAAAAAGTAGTTTATGTATTGAAGGTACAGTCAGATAATTTCTGAAGAAAGTCATAGGAAATAAGTTAATTTGCATTTTGCCTCTGGAGGTCACCGACCGGACACTGCTTTGCTCTCAGGAGGGGGGACTCCATCATCTCATCCTTCTCTCCTCTCCTTCACAGCCACCTCAGAATGAACCAGGCAGCCACTTTCCAAGAGCACAAGTGCGACCTTGTAGAAGCCAAAAAGAGGCATTCCAGTGGGAGCAGGACCTGCAGAATCCAAAGGCCTCTCTGTCTTGGGCTCTCTGGTGGTGAACAAGCTTGACAGCCTAAGAAGGCCATCTCGCTGTTGCCATGCGAGTTTTTGGGAGGAATGGGAGGCAAAATAATTTCCAATCTTGCTTCTTTTCTGCTGGCAGTGTCCCAGCAGTTGGCAGGATTTTCAGAAGCCTCCATTAATTTATGAGGAAGATTCAAATGACCTTGAAGTTCACACTGTACTTTGAATTTAATGTTTATATAGGGTAGTCTAGACTTTTTTATATAGTGAATATGCAATCCTGTCATTATCTCATACTTGTTGATTATGCTCAACCAGTGAAACTTCTTGAGGGTGTGTGATACATATTTGCACATCAGTAAACCTATTGATCTTACACACATTGGAGTTTTGCTTCATTAATATACTCTGAATAGCACACCAATAGTACATCAAATACTCACACAGGTACTGGGATGCAATTTCCATCTCCTAACCCTTTATGCATGTCAGCTCTTTATTTTTACCTCTTTACAACCATGTCTGTGCCTTGGCAGCCAATGAATTCTGCCCTCTGAAACGCAGGGGATGCCACCCCGTCAGGAAGTCCTAGCTGCCTCTGTGGACCTCCTTCAGGAATACAGGCTGAACACACCCACACAGCTGAAGCAAGTACCCTAGTACTCTGGCAGTGCAGGCACTGCTCTGGGGGCATTTATGATTGCCCCACAGCTTCCACAACATTAACAGCAAACACAGCATAATGGGTACTCACTGCTTGCTCCATCTGGCCTGCCTACTGAAGAAAACTGACAGCACCACACATCCTTTCAGAAAATACATCCCTGCAAACATGGGGCAGTATCCAATGAGGCCACTCCATCTCCACTAGTTATGTTATGCTCTAGGGACTCACACCGATTCTGTGAGCTCTTCAGATATGTGCCCTTCTGGACATGAGTGCTTTGTCCAGTTTCTGATTACTCTGGGAACTACGAAGTTCTTACTGTGTTAGCGTAAGTCCTCCTGGAAAGGGGATGGTGCTGGATACTGCCCAAGGAATGCTTTTCGTCTAGTACCACAATGTTTATCTTACTTACCAGGAATGGAAGAGTGTCTCACAAGACAGTTGCCTCATTCTGGCCACATCTGACTTTATTGTTTTAACCTCAGCTAGCATTTCTTTCACTCTAGAAGCCAGTTCTTGACACAATGGATCATGCTTTCGCATCTTGCATCCAACAGGCAGCTGATCAGCAGTCACTGGAGTGAGATATTGTAGCTCTGAAGGGTTAAGCTCAGCTGTGGACTTCAGAACATTGGGTGGATTCAGTTCTGTTCCTTCAAACTGTATTGTGGTATCACTCAACTGGGCTTTTGGACAGCACTCTATTAACCAGGACAGCTGCTCCAGGACTACTATACACTGCATGGAAAGATACTGCAACCTATCAGTCCACTGCTGAACACCATCTTGAGGAGGAAATGCTACTTCATATTCACTAGGAACACTCAGTCTGCTATCAATCTCCTGTATGCAGCTCAGAAGATTCCTGTAAGAGATGTGTCAATGATCAAAATGCAATCTGACAACTTAGTTACCATAACTATAACATTGTTTTTCAAATAGTGAATATTTGCAAGTAATATGTAATGGTAACAAAATTATTATTTGCCCTGAGAATACACCACAGTTATACTCTGAACTGTAAAATAACTAAACATCTTTGAGTTCAGCATGAACATTTCTTCAAAATGAACTGAGTACATCAACAATTTCAGGTTCCAAACTACAGCATACTATTTAAAAAGTACTACAGGCAGTCCCTGGGCTATGAACATCTGAGTTATGAACAACCCATACTTAAGAATGAATTGCCATGAAGTTGATTAATTTCAAAGTTTCAAAGGCCAACTGCAGGTAATTATCATCACCATAGAAAGGGAGAGAAAGAAGACCACCAAAGCATCACCATACAGAGGAAGCTAAAGGGTAGAGTGAGGTCTCCAAGGCATGTTTTTCCTGCCCTACCCATCAAGAAAGAAAAATCCCTCCTACATTTCCTTGCTGCAAAGAGGAGGCCCTAGTGAGGTTGGGGGCGAGTAGAGATATTTGTGTTTTTTCCCACTTTTGTGGGGGTTCTGAGTCCCTAACTGCCATGTATTTGTAAGGCCAACTATACGTGATCCATCTTACATACAAATTTGACTTAGATGCAGTTGTTTTCTCAGGAAATGAACTTAGATGCAGTTGTTTTCTCAGGAAATGAACTTGTTTTTAACTTGGGGATTGCCTGTATTTCTAACTTGTTGCATGCTTCATTAAACAGGAAATAACAGGATTCTAACTCAAATTCATAAGCAACTTTTATATGAAGGGTTTTTAAATGTGCCTGCCCACCCCCTTGCACAAGAATTTTAGCAGGTAGGATATATGGAGTCGGCTCTAGTCTATGCCTTCTGAAAAATAGAACTGCTTCTTCCATCCAGGAAAAGCCTTCAATTCAATGGAAAAATCCCTCTGTTGCTGGCAATGGTGGTCTTTTGCCAGTTCCCTGCTCCTCCTGCAGTCCCCAGTACTGTATCCCAACATTATAAAACAAATTTCTGGAGAGCAAAGGTTAAGGGGAAATGGCAAAAAAACACCTTTTCCATTAACGATAAGAAAATTTGAATCCAAGCTAGTCACATTCACACAACATGACAATCCATCCTGTGAAAATGTTACATGGTATGAGTTACCATGGATGTGGCTATTACAGGACCAGAGATCATGGTGAGTTGCCTCCCATTCCATCCCCCTTGGGTCTCCTGCCAGTTTCTGGGTAAACTGGCGATGAAATTGTCACATCTCCTCTCCCTACTTCAATTTCACCCCTGCTGCAGCAGCTTTCCATCCCATCTTTCTGCCTCATGATTTCCACAGTGGCACTCCCTCTAAGATAGGGGAGGGGATGGACACACAGGGAAATACACAGCTGTAAAATCTGCGTAAAATCCTTGTTTAGTCCTCTCAAAAACGCAGTTTTCAACAAAAACTGTAACTTTGAAAGTGGACAAAATTAAGTGCTCCTGTAAATAAGGTTAGCTGTATTTAGAGCACCTAGAGGCTTGGGAAAAGGTGGAAGATACCACGGTCTGTTAGAACATTTGAACCTAGAGAAGCTTGCTGCAAAGTGGGGGATCTCATCACCAAAAGGGGAAAAAGCTGCAGCAACTGCAAAAGGGGTTGTAATTGAAGCAGGGAGAGTGACCTGGTAAGGGCTGCTCCAAAATGCCATTTTGGGACTTGGCCTGGAAGTTTGGCAAAAGCTTTGTGCTGTTCTTCCCAGCCAGCTTGCTTGCCACCTCCCTTGACCCTTCATGAGCCCACAACCCAGATTAAGCCATGGTCTGTTGTTGCCCCCAAACAAGCTGCACTGTGAGAAGTGATTTAGGTTGGCACAACACAGCAACCCACTATGACTAGTTAACTACGACAGGTCACCATGTTGTACAAACCTATGCACTATATATGTCACTGTATTTTATTGCAAGTTGGAATTCAAGCATAAGGAACTGCAGCATTCCGTCAACTAACAGCAATAAAGCAGAACAAAATGCAACAACTCAAATTATTTCAATAGCAAAACATCTGTACAAGTCAAACTCCCTCTTCTCAATAAGCTGCAAGCAGCCATTTATTCTGCAGTATAGATTTTTATCTAATATTTCAGCATAATGCATAAAAGATACTTATGTGCCAGTATTTCTTTACAGAGCATAACGAGAAATAACAAAGGTAAGAATCAGGTTTCCTTCTTAATGTGCTAAAGGATTAGGACTTGGATTAGAAAGGCAGGTTGCTTACCTGTAACTGATGTTCTTCGAGTGGCTATCTGTGCAGTCACACATATGGGTGCTGCGCCTGCGCAGTGCCTAGGCCGGAAGATTAAAAAGCTAATGGTTTTGGCAGGAAAACTCCGCTCCCCTCCCACTTCGTGGTATAAATAGAGAGGAGTGTCCGCCATTTTGTTCAGTCTTGAAGACCGAATGTTCGCCCTCTACAGGTTAAGAATAAAATTAGTTGCAAACGGCATTGAGCCCCAAAAGTACCGATGCAAAGCATAGTACGGTACCGAGAACAATATCCACTCACCGGCATATACCATCGGTACCGATGCAAATTACAGTGTGGTACCGAAGCAGTATGTACTGATGGACACCGAGTGGGGCCGGTGGGTGGGTTGTGTGACTGCACAGATGGCCACTCGAAGAACATCAGTTACAGGTAAGCAACCTGCCTTTCTTCGTTGTGGCCTCTGTGCATCACACATATGGGTGATTGGCAAGCTTACCCAACTCGGAGGAGGGAGGTGTCGTCAGCGAAGAACGGACGAAAGAACAGCTCTGCCGAAAGAGCAGTCCTGCCTGGCGCACACATCAAGCCGATAGTGCTTGGCGAAAGTGCATGGCCCTGACCACGTTGCAGCTTTACAGATATCGGGACCCCAGCGGCAAAGGCGGACAAAGTCGCAACAGCTCGTGTGGAGTGACCCCTGGGGGTAACATGTAAGTCTATTTTTGATAGTTGATAGGCCAGGACAATAGTCTGGGTGATCCAGTGTGACAGCCTTTGAGGTGTGACTGGAAGTCCTCTGTCATGTTCAGAGTACTTAACAAAGAGTCTGTTCGTGTGACGGAGGGATTCCGTACGGGAGCAACAGAAAGCCAGGCAGTGGCAAACATCAAGGGTGTGTATAGCCCACTCTACTGGATTCGACGGCGCTGGAAAGGCGGCTGGCAGAATGATATCTTGACTCAAGTGGATGGTGTAGCCACTTTAGGAAGAAAGGAAGAATCCATACGAAGAACGACCTTTTCTTTATGGAAATTAAGATATGGAGGGTCTATGCGGAGAGCAGAAAGTTTGCTTGCTCTCTGAGCTGATGTCACCGCTATGAGGAAAGCTGTTTTCCAGGACACCAGGCGTAGGTCGCCGGTTGCCAGTGGCTCAAACGGAGATTTGGTAAGAGCTTGGAGTATGACCGAAAGGCTCCAGGCTGGCATAGGCGGGCGAATAGAAGGGTGTAGGTGCTGTAACCCCCGAAGGAAACGTTGAAGTAGAGGTTGAGAGAAAACTGAAATCCCTTGAAGCGCACCACGATAGTGTGAAATAGCGGCTACATAAACTTTAATGGATGACGGTTTCAGTCCCAAATGATAAAGTTCCAAGAGAAATTGTAAAATATTGTCAATTGAGGCCATTCCAGGAGAAAAAGACTGGCATTCTGCAAAGGAGGAGAATCTCTTCCATTTAGCTGCATAAGAGCAATGAGTGGACGGTCTTAGAGCAGATGTGAGAATCGCCTGAATTTCCTGGTCAACAGTCACCGGTAGCGAAGCAGCTGTCGTCGAAACCGACCTAGGGGCCATCGGTACCGTGGAGTGAATACATTCCGGTAGAGGTTCGGATGTCGTCGGTACCAACACAGCAGAATGATTCAAGTGATCCGCCATGCTGTCAACCTCAAGGCAGTCAGATCCGGATATCAGATCACTCAGTTTTGCTGCGTTAATAGCTGAGGAATAGACGGGAGGCAAAGAAACGTCCCTTTGGATAGACGAAGAAGGGTGGCGAACCACGGTTGTCTCAGCCACCATGGAGTTATTATTATTCCTGTGGCATTCTCTTGAGATATCTTCGCTATCACTTTCGTTAGAAGTGGAATTGGGGGAAACACATAAAAGGCTATGTTGTCCCAGGGGATCATAAGGGCATCTCCCATCGATCCCGATCCTATGCCTGCCCTGGAACAGTATAGGGCACACGCTCTGTTGCCGCAAGTGGCGAACAAGTCCAAGTCCGGATAGCCCCACAGATGGAAGAGGTTGTGGCATATTTGTCTGTCCATCTCCCATTCGTGCGTTGTTGACATATGTCTGCTCAACATGTCTGCTTCGGTGCTGTCGGTCCCTGCAAGGTGGACTGCTAGAAGCATAATGTCCCTCGGTATGCACCAGTCCCAAATGGCCATCGAGAGACGTGCTAAAGGTGGCGATTTTGTGCCGCCCTGTTTGTTGATGTAGAAGACAGCCGGTATGTTGTCCAATGCAATCTGGACAACTTGTTGGCATAGGACAGTCTCGAAAGCCCTTAGGGCATTGAAAATCGCCTGTAGTTTGAGGACGTTGATGTGCTTCCTTGCTTCCCGTCGGTTCCAAGTTCCCTGAACCCGAAGGTCCGTACATGTTGCACCCCATCCCAGTAACGACGTGTCTGTATACAGGGTCTTCGTTGGATGAGGTGTTCGGAATGGGACACTGACAGACAGGTTGCTCGGAATGGGACACCAAATTAGAGTGTTGAGTATCACAGACGGAATTCGGATCAGTTTGTTGGGAGAATCTCGCTGTGGGCAAAACGACGTGTTGAAAAACAGCTGCATGGTCTGCATCCGTAGTCTGGCATACGGGACAATGGCAACTGTAGCAGCCATGTGCCCCAATAGTCTCTGAATGGATATAGCTGGAACCGTTCCTAGTATTCGGATTCGAGGGATGTGGGCACATAAGGTAGCGCGATGGTCCGGAGGGAGGAAAGCTCTTTCCCGTGTGGAGTCAAGATGTGCCCCGATAAAGTCGATGACCTGCGTGGGAATAAGGGACGATTTTTCGTGGTTAATACATAGTCCAAGATCATAGAGCAAGGTGCAGGTCATGTGTATTGCAGACAGAAGCCCTTGTTTAGTTTGGGAGACAATTAGCCAGTCGTCTAAATATGGGTATATTTGCACTCCTCTTGTCTGTAAGTGTGCACATACTGGTGCCATACACTTCGTAAAAACTCGAGGTGCGGTGGCCAGGCCAAAGGGTAGCACAGCATATTCGAACAAGTCGAGCCCAAAAGTGAAACACAGGAAACGTCTATGTGAAGGATGGAAGACCACTGTCTCTTTTCGGGACCGTGAAGTATCTGGAGTAGAATCCATGCAATCCCTCCGAGCGGGATAGTTGTCGAATCGTGCCCTTGCGAAGCAACTGAGAGACTTCTTCGCACAGTACCGATGAAGAAGATGTAAATCGAATCGGACACAGTGGAGGGACGACATCGAATTCTATCCTATATCCGAACTGAATGATAGACAACACCCACCTATCAGATGTAATGGACTCCCAAATGGGGAGTCAGCCCTAGAGCCGGTCCCCAAAAGGGAGAGGGAAAGGTGGTGTGGGGAGAGAGAGAATGGTTCGCCCGGACCGTCAACGTGGACGTTTGTCAGCGTCAAAACGCCGCCTGCCCTGGGGGAAACGTTGCTGCGGCTGTTGTCTTCGCCGTTGCTGTCTTTGTTGGTAGTGTTGCCGAGGGTGGAATTGTGGACGGTAAGAGGAATGAAGCCCTTGCCACTTACGCCTCTGTTGAAGAAGCTCCATGCGGCGCGCAGTCATATGCGATTCGTGTATCGCTTTTAACTTGCGGTCAGTTTTCTGATGGAATAACCTGGTACTGTCGAACGGCATTTCCTCGATCCTCCATTTCATCTCGTCGGGGAAATTGCAATTACGAAGCCATGCGTGTCGGCGCAGCGAGATGGCATTCACGAGAGCTCTTGAATTGGTATCTACGTGATGTCGTGCGGTAGATAATTGCTGCACTGCTAACTGCATAGCTTCCTTGATGAATACCCTGGCAAGTTCGGCTTGGCGGTCTGGAAGGGAGGAAGCAACGTTATCCAGTTTTTGCATAATAAAATACTGGTAACGTGCCAGTGTTGCTTCATAGTTCGATATGCGCACACCGAGTCCAGAGGCCGCATAGACTCAGCAGGCGAGCATATTGATCTTCCTCCCTTCCTTGTCGCGAGGGGCTGTGTGTCCCCTGGACTCCCTGCCCTGGGAGGATTCGACGACAACAGAGTTTGGGCGTGGATGGCGAATCAGGAACGGAATGTCGTCCTCCCGAACTCTGTACATGGCCTCATACCGACAGGAGGTCACTTGCGGTTGTACCGGTTGATCCCAGGGTTGGACCACAGCCTGCCGAAGTGTGGTAATAAGCGGCAGGACTATGGCCGCAGACTGTTCTCCCCTCACGACATCATAGAAGCGATCCGTGGATGGGCCCGGTTGTTGACTAGCCTCAATCTCTAGTGAATGGATGAGGCGGGACATGAGCGCCGTAAAGGAGACATGTGGCTCATCGGGCGACGCCAGTCCTTGGGAGGCGACTGCTACATCGGGGGATGTACAGTCAATCTCGGATTCGTCCGAATCCGGATAATAAAGTGGACGGTCGCTCGAAGACGTTTCTGGGGAGGTTGGACGTCCCCTCTCCACAGGCCTGGCCATCGAAGGCGAATCTCTCGGGGCTGATGGAGACGCATGATCCTGAGGGTAATATGAGTAAGATTGATAGCCACCCCAGTCTGAGAAGGCACCATATCCGTGCATCCTCCAGTCGTCACCCCGGTGTTCGGACGAGTGGCTGCAGCACCTTGGAGGCGAAGGTGACTCCACAGGTGGCTCAGTCGTGGGCATTGGAGTCGGAGACCGTTCCCTCGGTGGGGAGTCTCTAATCTCGCCAGAGTCCCGAAGCGGCTCCTCCACTTGTTGGGTTGGCATGCTCTCAGGCCGAATGAGAGGCCTGGGTGATCCCGGCGGTGTTACCTGCATAGTGAGTTGCAGAGCCGGTCCCGAAGGGGTCGGTACCGTGGCGGCGGACGGTACTGAAAAAACCGACGAACCCAAGCCCCGGTGTCTGGGGCGATCGGGTTTTTTGGTCTTGTGAGGGGGTTTATCTGCCTTCTCCTTCCTCGGAACTTTACGAACGGAAGGCTTATCCGAACCTGTGTGCTTGCGCTTCTCCTGTTTTTTGGCTGGGGAAGAAGGCAGCACCTGGGTCTCCGCTGGAGTAGCACCTTCAGCCGAAGGACGCTGAGGAGGATTGGTGGAAGTGGGACGCTTCGGAGGAGCGCTGACAGTTGGGGTGGAGCGTGGAGGAGGCAGCGTGGCTGAAGAGGAACCAGGCCGTAAGAGCAGTTGGTCCGATTGCATCAAGGCCTGTTCTCAGAGGAGCTTGCGGAGACGGTTCTCCCTGTTCTTCCGCGCTTGCTTGGTAAAGGCCAAGCAATGGCCGCACTTGTCGGTTCTATGCCCCTCGCCGAGGCAGAGGAGGCATAGATCATGCGGATCCGCAGGTGACATTTTGGATCTGCATGTGGTGCATTTGCGAAAGGCTGCTCGCTGTGCCATTGCGGAAAAAGAAGAAAAGATGACAGGATAGAGGGTAAGATAATATTTTTTTTTTTTTTGAGAAGAAGAAAAAGAGAGGGATATACAAACTTGCAATATAAACTTGGAATATAAAAATTAGTTAAAGAATGGATAAAGGCAAAAGGAACAGTAAGGACTCAAGATCTTAGCGAGGACATTAACAAGCACGAGGCACAGCGAATGGCAGTCGCAAAGACTGAACAAAATGGCGGACACTCCGCTCTATTTATACCACGAAGGGGGAGGGGAGCGGAGTTTTCCCGCCAAAAACCGTTAGCTTTCTAATCTTCCGGCCTAGGCACTGTGCAGGCGCAACACCCATATGTATGATGCACGAAGCCACGACGAAGAAAGGTCACAGATTTTATGTATACAAAAAAGCCACCCCAAGACTTCAGTAGTAGGCAGTATATAAATGGTAGTCTGTGTGTGTGTGTGAACAGGTGATGGAGCATCTCAACAATTCTCCAGAAATATGTGGTGGCCTTTCAAAAGCAGCACAGGGAGGTGATCAGAACAGAAACTCAGGCAAGGTGCAGTGTATGCATGGAATCCTGACCGAGACCTGGAAACGGAAGTTCTTATCCTCTTTGTGACTTTAAGATTTCCATCTTAGGTTATGCAATTTGCAAACTTTCCCTCTCATACTGAGTATGGATGCTTGTCTTTCTACAAAATACACTGAAAAGAGAAGGACAAATACCTCAGGAAAATCCACTGCTCCGTCAAGGCAGTGAGAGAATTCCTCTGCTTGACGAGCATCTTCATGAGGTGTGCTGTAAAGCCTTTACACCTCTCCACAGTGCCAAGTCCAATTTCCTGCAGTGACAAGGTAGCAATTTTCATTCTTAGGAGTTGCAGCCACTATTACCAGCAAAATGTGCAGAACTTTATAATTTATCTCACAACATATACAAAAAGCCACTGAAAACTAATTCCCAGCCTAGCAACCTGGGTTACAGTTTTAAGTATTGTGCATGAGATGGAGTCAATGTTCTTGATTAATTATAAACAAAAACACAGAAACAGCAGCAGCAACAAAACCCAGATCCTCACAGCATTCTCTTCAGATTTATAAGTTCACTTCAGCTGAAAAGTCACAAGGACAGTATATTTAATATTTAAATGAAGTAAAATGCTTATGGTTCTAAAATATGCATTTTAATCAATTTTCTACATCAATTTTCTCTGAGATACATATCCAACTTGATACTGAACTTATTAAGCATGTGTTTAATGTATCAAGTTTACTGCAGAATGTGGTAATGCAGAACGTGTGCAACTGACAAACTAGAAACGTATTAGTAGTTTTACCTTCATTTATTCATAAAGCGTCAACAACAAGGGAAAGTACAAAACATGGCTAAGAAATGTGTATTTGAAATAAAATATTACTCTTTCCAATAATGAGCTATTCTTATTTATTTATTTTATTATTATTTATTAAAACATTTTTATGCCGCCCCATTTGCTGAAGCCTTGGGGCGGCTTACAACACTAAGCTAAAATAATTATAATATAAATCAAAAATATAAATATTAAATTAAAAATACACAAATACAGTATAAAATAAGCCGCCCTGGCCATTCTTTCTTACATCTTCAAAACTGTTGAAAGAAGGTTAAAGATAGCTTTATTATTGTCTAAAGTCACTGCTTTACCTTTGAAGGTGTTAATAAAACTGTCTGAAGCCTACAGTGGCGTGCAAGGGACTGGTAGAAGTATTTCTGGCATCCATCCCAGGAGGAAGAGATCTCAGACAGTAACCTGGAAAGTACAAGATTGTTTTTCCCCCAACAGAAAATAGCAAGCAGCTTCAAAGTTTTAGTATGACATGGTGCGAACACACAAACTCCGAAGTCTTAAGCATTCAGCTCATATGTGCTTTTAGGCAATCCCAACCTCCTTTGCTTTACATGTGTACAGAATAAAAATGACAGCAGGTACTCCAATGCTGTTAAGTACTAGTTTTCACTTCAGGCTAGGTGTGTGTGGTTTTGATAGGCTGGGTTCCAGAAAATGCTGTTGGCACCAACGAAGCTTTCTTTGTATTGCAAATGGAGTGGGTGGAGGGAAGGAGGATTCTGCTTGGGACTGCAGGGCATGAAGAATTAAAGCCCCTTCTTGCCTTTCGATAAATAACCATGCAAGGACAAACTACATTAATAAATATCATGCCTGACTTGCTCTCAACATATTCTAAGATAGTCAAACACTCTAGAGAACAATTTTGGAAAGTTCAACAAATTATTTCAGCTACAATTTTTGCCATTTTTGATTACTGTCGCAGTCTTAAAAATACAAAATAACATACTTGGCATCCAGTCTGTGTGTGCAGTTAACCAAGGCTAATGCACTGCGCAAATCCAATGGATGAAGAAAAAGCAGTTCCTGGGAGGTTTTTGAACGAGACCAAGCAAGGCCTTTGCGATACGACAATCCTGGGAAGACATTCAGCACACATGACTTTATAATTTCTTTTTGAGATTTAAAATACAAGTGAATGTTTTCAACGAGGCCGTCCATATATACATGAACTCTCTGATACTGAGTCTTTTTGCTCCTGTAGCTTCATGAAGATATAGCTATACAAATTAAAGTGTGGCAGCCTAAGAGATAGTTGAACTAGTGCCAGTAGTTGAAGGGAGAAGTGTAAGTAAGCAAGACTAATAACTAGCAGCTGTCAAACTTCCATCATCTGGAAGGTACACTTAAGAGTTTATTTGTGTTTATTTATTGTATGTAAGCCGTCCCAAGGCTCATGCGAATGGGACGGCATACAAAAATTCTAAATAAATAAATAAATAAATAGATAGATAGATAGATAGATAGTTTGTTCACATTTTAGGCCAAATTATGGGTTGGCATTAGAGGACCCCCACACTCCTACTCCCTTTTTCCTTTGCACATTTCAGTTCCTATGTCCTAGTTTGTAGTCAACTATCCTTCAAATGCTGCTCCAAGGGAGGACTGGCTAGTGCCAACAAGGAGGAGGGCCTTCTTTGTGGTAGCCCCCGAATTATGGAATGATCGCCCTACCACGGCCCACTTGGCACCAACTGTACTACCTTTCTGATGCCACATTAAGAGCTGCCTTTTTGCTGAGGCATTTACCAACTCCAAACAGTATATGAGATGAGTAAGCATTGCGTAAAAGCATGGACTGGTTTCAGTGCTTTAAATTATTAAAATTAAAAAAATTAGTCTACCTTTTTAGTGTAATCTTATGATGTTTTGCAGTTTTATTTTATATTGTATTTCATTTTTTTAACTTGAATGGTACAGAAATAATAATAAAACAATAACTATGAATTTCACTGTGCTCCAATCAAGAATTAGAAAGGTTTTTCAAATCAGGACCGCAGCAGATGAACCTAGGTCACACTTATGTACCAGATAGGGATCATAGCTCAATAGCTGAGAACTTGCTTCACATGCAGAAGATCTGAGGTTACATGCAAAACACCCAAGGTTCACACTCTTCACTTTTCCACTTCAAAGGAACAGGTAGCAATTAAAGAGAACAATATCTGCCTATGAACCTGAAAAATTACTGACAGAGTGACCAGTGTGGGACATACTGATCCACTGAACGGAATCTCCCATGGGCTATGCACATGCTGAGCCAGTGGACTTCCATTCGCAAAGTGGGACTTATCCTTCCTCTCCCTTCCCTGTACCCACCCAGAATGCCCACCCTCTTTGTTTGTTACATTTTTATCCACCTTTTTCCCTTTCAGGGAACTAAAGGCAACTTACATTATTCTCCTCCCTGTGATATACGTTGCCCTGAGAGTCTGTAAGTGGCCCAGTGAGCTCCATGGTTGAGCAGGGACTAGAACCCAGATCTCCTGAGTCCCAGTCCACACTCTTAACCACTGCGCTACACTGGTTATCATACTGGCACACCCTAAACTGCTTCACTGCAGATAAGAAGGGATGCAAAAGCTGCAAAGGGAAGGGGCTTCTGTTCTGCTGCTGGACAGAAATCATCCCTAGTGATGTCCATGTATTCCAGGCTCATACAAACATTTCTCTCACATGACCAGAGTCTCGGTTGAGTGAAGAAGCAAGAAAAGCCATGTGACTACAGGAGAAAGCAATGCACACGAGTGCCAATGAACCCTCAAGGGCATTATCTCTTAAGGCCTGTCCACGGTAGTAGTATGAAGTTCAGAAATGCACAATGGCCTAGCCAGCAGATTCCACATGTATTGCGACAAAGACTTAGGTTCACATTCATTCCGAACACTGAGACAAATGATTGCTGCTTAGGTACTACAAGTACAGCTGCCCTGAGCAGTCTTCCCCAACCAAGTGTCCTCCCGATATGTTGAATTACAACTTCCCCCACCCACAGCCAACATGGCTGATGGATCTGTCGGTTGGAGACTGTCCCTCAACATATCTAAAGAGTGCTGGGTTTGGGAAGGGAGCTGTACAGAAAAAAAGAAAGGAAAAAAAAGGAGAGGGGATGATGGCAGCATTACGAGGGCCCTCATACAGATGTAAAGTATGAGGAAAGCGGAATGGTAGGTGGAGAATATTTCCTATTTGTGTACATCGTTCAAATTGAAAATGAACTAGTGGATCCAACTTGTTTCACCTGTAGCTGCAAGGTTTTTAAAGAGCTCTGTCAAGGCCCTTTGTTTTTGCACAAGTAGATGTTTGATTTCAGACTTCTGTTTTTCCCTTTCTGCAGCTGGATTCACGGACATGTTCTGCAACTCATGGGCTGAGGAAATTATGTCACCTGCAAAAGGAAGGAAAGAGTAGAAAGAATCCATGTAGCAATACATTCAGTGCGTTAATCCAAAATTAGAAGTGCCAAGTCGAACACATTTTGAGAGTTTCAGCCTTTCAAACCCTTACTAAAACTATTTTTGCCCACTGGTTTTCAGTACTGAATTTTATTCTGTAAGTTTATACAGCTCCAGCTGCCAGTTGCCCCAAGACTGTACTTGAAGGAAAGAAAATCCTGGCCTCTGCCATTGGTCAGGGGACTTGAGAGCGCTGGATGATGCAGGTTTGTGCACAGACATGTGCACTTTAACCATCTACTGTAAACTGTCTTAGGAACATTCAATCAAAAGGCAGGGTTATACACCTTCTATATAAATAAGACATTGACATTCATATAGTGCTTACCTGTGAAATTGTCAAGGTTCTCCACCAGATCTAAAAGTGAGTTGTTTTTCACTAGGGTTGTACATATCTTCTTCATTCGCTTTGTGAGTTTAGGTAAGCGGCCCTGGAGGGATTCGGGACTGAACACTTCTGCTTGGAATCCCTCAAAATGAGCAGCCTGGTGACATTTTCACAACAGAAAGAGTTAGTGCAAATAATATCCTAATTGATCTAAGAGTTTATCAATATTGATTAGCCTTTTTATAGTGAAGAGCTGGAGTTCATATATAACCATGGGGGATGATTTTCTGCTTTCTAATGGCACCGGAGACACAACAGCATGCTGTGTACCCCCAGGCTTGATCAGAAGGTCAACTCTTACATTAACCTTTACTCATACATATGATTGGGTAACCTATTCCCAACCGCGGAATGGCACCATGTAGAAACAACATGTGACATGTGCCATTTCAAACTGAAGCTGGGGGCTTGTGCGTTTGATTCTTCTGCCAAGCAACAAGTTCCCTGCATACAGAAAACAACTGTGTCAAGTGGGAAGGCTAGAAAGGAATCCTTCCCCTAATACTCTAGCTCAGCAGGAGCAGGCTTCTTTTCCATTGTTCCCTCTTCTGCAGTCTGAGATAGTAACATCCCTGTCTATGTGACACATGCTCATGTTTAGGTCAGCCCCTGGAAAAGTCTCATGCTTGTCTACGTCACACTATCTCACATTACAACACCCATAAGACAATGCAGAAAGGAGAGTTTATACCTTCTTATTTCACTATTTTCATTCTCACGGACATTTTGTCATATAGTTCTTTGTTATGAATAGGACAGGTTTTTAAATACTTGGGTTATTAACATTCCATTCAAATGTAAACAGGAACTCTAGATACCTGAACAGCTTCAGTTCTAGCAGTCAGGTATTTTCTTAATAGCTTGTTCAGGCACTGAATTTTAGTTTCATGGTTGTCCACTGCCTCCTGTTTCTGCAAGGAAATGAGTTGCTCTTCTTTGGCTGTCTCCACCAAGGCAAATCGACAAGGTTCATTCAGAATGGCTTCAAACTTCTTCATAAACTTAAAAAGGGTCCTAGCCCCCAAGAAAAGACGTGAATGAGAAAGAAGATTAACTGTGCACCTGGGTTTTAAAGCTCTACAATATGGGAAAAATGACTCAAGTATTTCACAAACTGTATGCAATCTAGCTGAAATGTGCACATTTTAAAACATTCAGCACTGTTTGTCTGAAGTGGTGGGTCATACTCTACCACTAGCTTGTGGAGTGCTATGCGAAGACGTTGCTGTTTTCAATCCAAGATATGCATTTTTTAGACTTATATCCCACTTGAACTCAACCTAATTATAAACTCAGCCTATGTTAGGCCAACATAGGCTAGTTAGACAGACACTGTTGTAATTTTCTTTGATTGTAATGTTACTGTAGCTAGACTAATCCACAGAAGATAAAGTATTGGAAAGTTATCCATGTACAGAATTTTTTATTTATCTATCTTTCCTTGGCAATTCTCACAAATAGGTTTTAAGGTGAAAAGGAACAGGAGAGGAAAAGAGGAGAATGTCTTGAAATGCAATATAGTTCCTTATTTTCCTTCTTGTTTGCACCAGAGACTGCCCTGATGTCCAAAATGGCAGTTTCATCAGAACTTTAAGATTACCTGTGTGTCTTCTCCACAGACTGTTTTACAGCCCAAAAGCTGATGTCATTCCATTTACAGATTTTCACAAACTCCTGCAAAGTCAAAGAAATAAACTTAGCAAAGCACAGGGTTTATCTTAAAGGTAATAAATTAGTGGTATGGTGACATTGCCTCCAGTTTGAAGAAAAACACTGAAGAAGCAAGGGGGTATCCAGCTTTTAGCTGAACCCAGGGCAGGTCTTTTAAGCAGAAGCATCAAAATAAGTGAGAGGCAGGTAAAAGGGCTAGATTACCAGATTTTGAAGAAATGTGGTTATCCAGCCATTGTATATTTTGCTCCACACCCCCAGTTATTACATCACTCAATCTTATTCTTACCTTTAGTTCTTTTTCTATTGGATGCCGAAGTTCAGTCAACTTGGCATGAACACTTTCTGAAAACTGCTTATAATAATTATATAGATTCCATAACACATTGCACAGCATGTCTGAAAGAAGTAAAAAAAAAAAAAACTCAGAAATTTCCCCCCTACCCTTCAGCACTAAAGGCCTACCTATTAAGGAATAGTCCTGAACTAAAATGGAAATCTCCCCCTCTAAATTCAGTTAATTTTTCCACAGATTAAAAAGATTCCTTTTGAGCAAATGTTCAGAAGCATGGCATCTCAACAGGCAAAAAAGTGCTAATCTCAGCTGTATCATCTTGCACCTGTCTTTTGGAAAGATAGAGGGAACCCTGGGTTCTACCTGTCACACTGCAATTTTGCAGTAAAAGGTGGTTTTATTCCCCCTTCCTCTTTTCAGAGAAAATGTGGCACTTCTTGGAAAGTCACCTTTAATTGCAGAAACAAACATCTATATATTAGCAACAACAACTGAAACACTTGCAGTCAGCTAACAGGGAAGCAGTGTAGGCAGCAGACAGTATCTTTATGCCTTCTCGAATAGAACTATTTGCACAAATAAAACTACCCAGTGCTCTAAAGCAGTAGGAAGAAGTAACCAACGACAACAAAATCTAAATAGCAGGATTAATCCTATGCAGTTAGGATCACTTGATGGAAATGACACAATTGAGCGGTATACAAATATTTTAAATACATAAAAACAAATAAATAGCTTTTCTAGATACTGAGAATTCTGAACTACAATATGGAGCACAGAATGGATCCCATCCTAGAATGGCAACACACTATGAAGCCCAATTCAAACATTATCCAAACGAATTGTTGAGGAAGCTGAATTATGATCTGGCATGATGTCTGGTCTGACAAACCATGATCTATGACCGGCCATGTCAACAGAGCCAGAAATCATGATTTGAAGCAGTGTTGTAAGTCATGGCTCTACTAAGTACGGTTCAGGCTGTTCCAATGGGCAACATATAATTTCATCTGTAGCTCTACTCCTGTTACTCCACAGAGATGTGAATGAGCTTAAATGCTGAGCAAACAGAAAGCAAAAGCAGAGAAACAGCTCCTAATAAGTGTGGGCTCTAAACAAAACTTAGCACAAGTCATAGTTTAGCATAATGTCTGAGCTGATTCAGTTTAGGAGAACCAGAGAACAGGAATGAAGATAACCTCTTTTGGAAAAGAATCCTGCCTTCTAATGCAGACCTCTCCAATCTGGGACCTTCTAGGCATTTTCAGCTACATCTCCTTTTACTTCTGGCCACTGGGCAGGCTTGCAAATCTGATGTGAATTGTAGTTGAAAACATCTGGAGAGATGCGGATTGGGAAAGATTGTCTAGGGAATGGAATGAAAAGTTCCCCAATATTGGAAGATTGAATATCTATAGTATTTAGGATTAATTTTTAATTAATTAATTTAAAATAATTAGGATTTTAAAATTTTTAGCCGAGATTGCACTGGGGGTTTTTAAATGGCTTTTTAAAAAATTGTTATATTATCATTATTTATGCATGCATTTATGCACTCTTTGTGAGCCACCCCGAGGCTTTGTTGTGATGGGGGTGGCATAGAAATGTTTTAAATGAATAAATAGTAGTAGGACCAAATTTCATTTCAGAGATGGTCTCAGAGGCTAGATTTCGGTGGTAGGCATAACTAAAGGTGAAATGATTCCATGCAGGAAAGGCACCACTGTGTACCTTTACCTGAGCATATGTTAATGGTGAAGTGGGCAACATGGTGCTGCCAGGCATTGTTCTTCATGCCCCTCTTTTTCTGGCAATGTTTTGGTTTTTTCTGTCAATAATTGCTAAGGGCCATGACTGGTCATTAACACTTTATTAAAGGGGGGGGG